ATTTTAGTAATTACAGTTTCCAGAAAAAATACAGAAGCAGCCGTACACCCAGAGACAGACAAAGAGCCTTGGGATAAGATAGGGAGGAGAGGAGGAAAAAAAGCGTCTGTACTCTCCAAGAGCCGGAAGAAGAAACATATTCTGAAAAATGCTCTGACATTTGTTGGAATTACTCACAGATAATTGCAGATTTACAATGAAAACCTGCACATTCAGAAAATATAGGGGCCTCATTTAACCTCTGATCTGTCTTCTTGTGACTTACTGCATCATTTAGGGTTCTACATGTAGTTTTAGATTTAAAGCACCAGTGAGTGTTATTTTTGCACACCAGAATGATGTGATTTATCCTGATAAAACCTGAAAAAGGATGAAAAGATTAATTTAGTCTGGATAATTGACACAATTTATACTTTTTCTTTTAGTTGACTGTATTGGCAACATAACTTCAGTGATACAGCAATAACTGCTAATATTGTGCTATAAAGTTTTCACTACATTACTTTTTTTCTTCAAAAAGAAAAAAATCAAGACTTCCCTTAAATCCTACTTTACTTGCATATTTGTTTTACAGACTTTCATGTAGTCTGATCTGTCAAATCCAAATAAATCCAGAATACAATCATTTGAATTACAGGCTGAAAATTTTAGTACTAAAGCTTGAATCATTTATTCTGGTTTAGATGAAAATGTTCACTTAACTATTTTTTTCTACTCTTTACATTTTCTTTTGCTTTAACTTATTGTTGTTCATTTTGACATATTTTCATAGCCTAGAAAGCCATATACTATATAATCTTCATATGTGTATATACACTCACCTGAAGAATTATTAGGAACACCTGTTCAACTTCTCCTTAATGCACTTATCTAATCAACCAATCACATGGCAGCTGCAATGCCTTTAGGGGTGTGGTCCTGGTCAAGACAATCTCCTGAACTCCAAACTGAATGTCAGAATGGGAAAGAAAAGTGATTTAAGCAATTTTGAGCGTGGCATTTTTGTGGTTGTTGGTGCCAGACGGGCCGGTCTGAGTATTTCACAATCTGCTCGGTTACTGGGATTTACACCAACAACCATTTCTAGGGTCGACAAAGAATGGTGTGAAAAGGGAAAAACATCCAGTATGCGGCAGTCCTGTGGGTGAAAATGCCTTGTTGATGCTAGAGATCAGAGGAGAATGGAATCGACTGATTCAAGCTGACAGAAGAGCAACTTTGACTGAAATAACTACTCTTTACAACCAAGCCCCCACAATTCGATTCTGACAGTGAGACCAATGCAGAAATGAAATAATTTGCAGTTCCACCCTCATCCGCTGGGGGCTGGTGTCAGAAGCAAGCAAATCCTCATTGACTCCCATGTTAAAAATACCAATTTCACAGCAGAAATAAACATGTTTACAGCCTGGAACCAAAACATGTTTTTGGTTTAAATTATCTAGTTTACACTCATGACAACTCTGAGGGGGGTGAATTTTTTTTGTCACCCTTCTGTTTAAGTGTATTAAAAGCCTAAAATTCTGTATAATTAATGAGCTTCAGACCCACGTGACCGCAGAGCTAGCTCCATGGAAAGGCCTCAGTCTAAGCTGAAAACTGTTCCGCCATTTTTAGTCTCTCAACTTAGACCATTAGTTGTAACATTTGTGTATTCTTTTTTGGATACATTTGTGCAATTGTTGGACAAAATGACTTGCTGTGGTATTAATTGCACTAATAGAGTGTCCAAGGAGTCTCCACTTCATTTTTTTCGGTAAGTAAAATTATATTTATGTATTTTAGGTCACTGCTGAGCTGAGCTTAGATTTTAACATGTACTGTTTAACCATGAAATTTAAATGTAACAGGGTAAAACCCAGTGCATTTAGCATAATGCTGCACTTTAGAAAATCTGTTGAAATATAACATGTTGGTGGAGCTGGGTTCCGACTATCGGTATGGTCCCCTTCCCGCAGCTGTCTGCTGCGCGGACTGCCGGCTTGTGGAGCTCTCGGATGGAAACCAATGTTTTCCACCCGGTTATCCCCAGCGGCAGCTCTGCGCATCTCTGATCGCAGCGGCACTTGTCTGCTGTGCGTCTGCCAGCTTGTGGAGCTCTCTGGAGACCTCTGTGGTTCACCCGGTTTAACCCAGCGGTCAGCCCGGCGTATCTCTGACTCAGAAGCTCTGGTGTTGTGCTCAGTTAACTCCAGTTGTAGCTAGGTTGCTTCCTCCGTTGGCGTAGCTCCCACCTCCCCGTTGGCTTTGGGTTAGCTTCAGGTTAGCTTGTAGCTAAATTAGCTTAATTTCGACCGGTTTTCGTCATTTGATCCCAGCCTTACAGCCCCACCCTCAGCTGCACCTCTCTTCCCTTTTGTGGAATTGCCTGGGCTTGACGGAAACCTGTGACATGGTCAAAGGGGCGGTGGTGGCCACCTCCCATTTTACCTCAAAAACGTATTATTGGAGTCTATGGAAACCCATTGTCCATATGTGTGTGTGTGTGTGTGTGTGTGTGTGTGTGTGTGTGTGTGTGTGTGTGTGTGTGTGTGTGTGTGTGTGTGTGTGTGTGTGTGTGTGTGTGTGTGTGTGTGTGTGTGTGTGGATGGTTACAACAGAGGAATGCAGCAAAGCACACCGATTGGCCCACTAAACCCTTGTAGTGTTGTGATTAGCCCACTGAACTGATAGAACAATTTGATTGGCATAACACAATACTGCTCTGGCCAAAGTTAGATCTGTTTTGGTTCCTATGGAGCGTGACCAGACCGACATGCAGAACAAAATCCTTTTGTCTCAGCTTCTTTCTGTATGAATTTCAACTACAGAAAGTTTAAAGAAAATAACACCTCTCTACATGAATTCATGAGTGTTCAAAAAAAGCATCCTGCTTATCTCTTAAAGAAATTTCTTCCTGAGTACAGCAAAACAACATAATTTTATTTAAAGTTCTATCATTGTTCAAATGCAGTGTTTCCAGTAGATACCTACTATTTAGGTTTTGGCAATAAAACTATTCAGTTGGGTCAAGAAAGCGTGTTTTGTGATGAAAAAACTATTTCAGTGTCACATGAAGCAAGGTCATGTTTTTCCAACAAAATTATTAAAAAATTATGAATTGCTTTGAAATCGGTCTTTTGTTTGTAATCCAGTTTAATGAGGTGAAAAAAAATCTGTACTATGGGGATAAAACACCAGCATAAGATGCATTTCTCAGGAGAGTCCTTAAGGCAGGTCCATTAATCCACCTAAATCAATCAGTGCCTCAACAGTCAATCAACAGGGGCACACACACACACACACACTCACACATCAGGGTCTATATGTATAATTATCAATTAGCTGGTGAAGGTTCTCAGTCATCCAGGTCATGGTAATCCAAATGGTTCAACTGAAGTCAGCTGGACTTATTTGGTTTCTTGAAGACATTTTGCTTCTCATCTGAGAAGCTTTTTCAATATGGGAGAGGGAAGTTTATAAACACTAACTGTCTGTTGTTGTTTAACAAGCTGTCTATAAATACCCCTCCTTTCTATACCCTGAGGAGGCGTTGATGCCGTTAGGTCCTATTGTCTTAAAATGGTTGTTTTGATCAGATGCACGAGGGTGTGACCTAGACTTAGGCCTAGTCCACACGTAGCTGTTTTTTTTTTAAAGAATACCCGCCCCTCCAAAAACTTGCATCCACACCACCTCGTTTAAAAAAAACTCTGTCCACACGTACCCGGATAAATACGTTGTTACGGACATGCCAGACCTGTAGGCGGCAGTACTTCCCCCGCTCTTAACCTCGTCCTTCGTCTGTGATCTTCCGCAAGGAGCAGTAATTCCGCTTGCAGAAACAAACAAGCAAAAAGCGCTTGGACAATTCATAAAGCGAGCGCAGCTCTGAGGGCATCCATGCTGTCGGCTAGTGTAAACACAGGTCGCACACGTGATGTCAGCATTTTTTGTCACGGAAAGTGATGTTGCGGACCTTAAAACTCTGGTTTTGTCTGTCCACACGCAGACACCCAAAACGGAGAAAACGCAGATCTTCACTTTGGCTGGAGTTTTTAAAAAGATCCGTTTTTGTGTGAAAAAACTCCGTTTTCGTGTGGATGACAGGCCAAAACGTAGAAAATTATCTACGTTTTGGCAGATCCCCGGCTACGTGTGGACAGGGCCTGAAACTGCTTTGGAGGTGCAGGTTTTTCTAACTGACTCCGTTTTTATCACATGGAGTTTTCCTAAACACAAACATGGGTCCAAAGCAGCTTGCTAGTTTGCTTATGTGTTTTTTTCTCCTGCTGCTGCTGGTTCAGCAATGACCCCAACATCCTGCATCAGCTCAGCCATATTTAGCTTCCCTGTTGCTCAAGTAGCAGTGCTTCCTTCTTGTGCATTAAGTTTTAGGGAAAATGTACAACTCATGAGAAACCCCTCATCAATATGACAGGATTCAAGTGTGCCTATGTAGGCAACAAACACAAGCATGCTGCAAAAACTGGCTGCTTGACATTTGCTGTTTTTTTCCATTTTATCCCTCACTTGGTTTGTTCACCTGCATGTGACCCAAAAGTACAAAAAGGCTTCTGCTTGTATAAAGAGTTAAGATGGAGAAAAGAGATGAGAGCTGGAGGAGCTCCCATCTGTTTCATGGAGACTCTGGTGGAGCTGAAATGGTTGGAGGCCTGAAAGACAATGACGTCATCATCTTTATACTCATGCACACAGCAGTGCTGAACATGTTTTGTAAAACAGACTTTTAGTTTGCTTACCCTTGACTCTGGAACTAACTGATTTTGTTTGCTTCCCCCTTTTCCCTTCTTCCCTTCTCTTATTTATTATTTTTTTACCTTAATCATTTGATCTCATCTTTTTTACCTTCACCATCTCCACCTTTTCCTTCTGCTACTTTCCCCATCAAATTTTACTTTTTCTTTCTCTCATTAATCTTTCCATCTGTTTTGTGTTCTCTGCTCTTTTTGGTCTCCACCTGGACCTCCTCATCACCACCTTCTGAACACTTTCCCTAGGTCCCTGTCTGGGCGTATTGTCGGAGGTGTGTGGTGGTTCTTCACTCTCATCATTATCTCCTCTTACACAGCCAACTTGGCTGCTTTCCTCACTGTGGAGAGGATGGTCTCACCTATAGAAAGTGCAGAGGACTTGGCCAAACAGACAGAGATAGCCTATGGGACTCTGGACGCAGGCTCCACGAAGGAGTTCTTCAGGGTATGGATCCAACACACTGCCGATGTACTCACTTAATGTTCATTTTGCTTGGACACTAAAAACACACACACACACGAATAAGGAAAAAGTGCTACAAGCATGTGCAATGTTTATTGTTATTTATTTTTTTTCTGGAGCATTGTTTGCCACATAGCTTGAAATACCAATGGTAATCAATAAATTAAATGTCTAGTCAAAAACTGATCATTTTAATCACCTCTAAAACGTACAATCCTGGTAAAAACTCATCCAATCACTGTGCTGGTCCCCCTTCCAAATGGTTGGATCAGAACCCATCCATCAAACTGCTCTTCTGAACGCCTGTTGCCCCGCTGCACATGTCTCTCTGTGCACGAAAAGCTCGTCGTCAGTGGAGCGTCTGATCAACAGGAAGTCTCATGACTTGTCCTGTTTCACAACTTTTAGATGTTTTTCGTTTGCTGCAGAAAGACTCATTTTTAGCTCTGACACTTCTCATTTTCTTCCCATTTATTCATTTTCCAAAGCAAACACTGCATGAAATGCTGCCATGGTCTGGTCCAAGAACAAGATAGAGAATAATGGAAAAGTAGTTCCAATGGAAAGCTGAAACACCACAAGTCCGATTTATTGAAGATCACTTTAAAAAGCAAGAAAATCTTTGAAAGCTAAATCCAATCCGATTCCAAGTAATTTGATTTTAAGAATCTGCCGACACTGAGTCCAGATCCGATATGGTAGAAATATGTTAGGAAAAAAGGAGAAACACTAGAGTTGTCATTTGAGGTTTTTAATCGTGAATGATTTCTTTCTTTCTTTCTTTCTTTCTTTCTTTCTTTCTTTCTTTCTTTCTTTCTTTCTGTATTTATGTCATTTCTTCAGTTGTTTTGCCATAAAACATCACACGTTTAGGGAGTAAATTAATAAGAAACGTGTTAATATTAAGAATATATAGAAAAATAAATTGTCATTTCCCATTCAAATGAATAAGAAACATGTTAATGTGAGGATAAATGTAAAAGTAGCCATGTCGCTCATATTTTAAATAGTTTACTCCGTGTGCCGCTGTTTTCAGCAAAAGGGATGGCACAGCACATGACGGTCAGCAGCAGAGGAACCTTTTTCTACCAAACACCTGTGGAGCTGCTGCGTCTGTAAATGTAGGGAGGGAAAGCAGAACATACTGCGACTAAAGCAAACTGCAGAACCCAACGTTTACAACCACGGACGCTCATCCAGTATGGTAAACATGTGGCTATCTTGGCATTTTTGCTTTCCGTAGCCTATTTCTTGGTTTCATTATGTATCTCTTAGTGTCGGCCAGGGGTGGCGTTAGGCCCGGCTACTTGGGCTGAAGCCCCGGATGTTTTATGAAAAGCCCCGGATCTAAATCGCGGAAGTAACATGCAGTACCAAAGTCCAACAGAGAGGAAGCAGCTGGCAGTAGTTTGTATACAGCCTGCCTGAGCCTCCACCACTGAAGAAGAAACCCTTCAGCAGCCGGCATCTTCTACACTCTCTGCCTGAAACGCATGAGTGAAGATGGACATAAGGACGTTTTTTAGACAAAAAGTACAACGACAGAACCCCAGCTTTGATGAGACTGGTGCTGACTCAGGTTTGTGAGTCTTATTTGAAAATATTTGTTGTGCTGCTGGTTTGCCTAAAGTTAGCTTACTATCAGGTAAAGTTGTTGGAGAAAGAAAGGGAATATTTACTATCATCTCACACTAAACACTAACAGGAACAATACTCTGTCCTGAAAATGCTTAATATGTAGCTTCAGATTAAAAATTATGTGGTACAAGACATATATGATGTTGACTAGTGCGTGTCACGTGTGTGTGCGCGCGTGTGTGTTAAGCCCCGGATCTTCTTCAGTCCTAAATCCGCCCCTGGTGTCGGCTGGCTTAGCTAAATTGCTGCAGCAACCTGAGCAGAGTGAGTTTTTTTAAGGTGGCACATCAGTGTTGAATGCAGCACTACCTTTCCACCTCATTAGATGTCCAGTTTGCACACATTATACGTGCTTCTCACACTCCCTTTGCTGTTCATTTAAAAATACTTCCAAATTACAGACATTTTCACTCTCTTGAGGTGACAAATATGCTTTGTGTTAGCTAACTGCTACGTATTATGATGCAGGAATTCCAGGACTACCTTAAATTGTGGACCTTTATGATGTTTTTGTCTGTGAAACAAAGAATATTGATGTAGAGGAAGTTGTTGAATTCAAAACTAAGCCGTTATTATTCTGTTTGAAATTCTTTCTTAGCATGAATTTAAAAAGTAACGTTTGTTGTTTTATATGGTTAAATCCGATTTTTCGCACCAATTCCGATTTCCTGAAAATCACGTGATCGAATCAGAGCATCCCTAATAAGAACCCACCAGTTTAGTAGTTTCACATAACAGCATCTCAGCAACTACATCTTTAGAACCATTGAGCAAACCTATGGGTCACAAATATGAGGTAATGACAAGCTTATTTATTAAAGCTAGGTAGTCTGCAACAAGGATCAGTAACCTAACACACATCACGCTGTGTGTAGTTCTGTCAGTGTTGTCTCTGGCTTTTCTCTTCACCAAACTCAAAATAGAGAACTACAGTAGAGAACATTTCACACACACACACACACACACACACACACACACACACACACACACACACACACACACACACACACACACACACACACACACACACACACACACAGTTCTACAAAAGGTATTTAACTGGATAGATGGACAGATAAAAGGAGCAGATTATTCTACAAGGAGAAGCAGCAAACACCAGAGTGAAATCAAAAGTCCCAGAAGAGACCATCATTTTCCTACCCTCTTGGTCTTTTTATCCATGCAGAAACAATTATGCACATTCTTTATGTATACACTTGAAATACACTTTCAACACACAAATACTCATATTTGCTCTGAATTTTTGGCAGCCATGAGCAGACACCTGCACCTTAATGCATCATTACAAATATTCTGACTTGATTGTGTACTTGTGTGTTGTGTCCAATAGGTGTGTGCAACCTGGGACGTAATTTTGGGGGGGGACGGGTGGGACATGTCCCCCCCACTTTTTCAAAAGGCAGTTTTGGTCCCCTGCACTTTTTTCCGTCCAAAAACAATGTTACGCTCCATTAAATGGATTTGTTTGAGCACTAGGACCGAAACGGAAACCGGTTTACTATTAGACCCGCCCAAAAGCTAATCTATTGGCTCTGCTGATACTTGCTAACGTATTATTGGCTGTTGCTGCTGTCACTCAAGTTGTAAACAGTCAGAACGTGCTCACGTTGTTTTGCTAGTTTGGAGCCGCTAGGGAACACCGGTACTGAGTCACATCGTCAACTAGACGCTGTGTAATATCAGAGCTCAGCTCAGCTTCCATTACATAACATTTGAATAAGTGTTCATTTGTGAGTCTTTGGTAGTTAGGCACAGCCAGGAGGCAGCATGTCAAGAAAACGAAAAGTGGATATAAGAGACTTCTTTCAAAGTCAAAACGTAAGTTGGAACATGTGACACCCCTGCATTAAGCTCAGACTCACCTCCTCCTTCACAAACATACTCAAAACTAACTTTTACAAACTCATCTCCTCCACATAACTGACTCCTCAGACACAATTTATTCGTATTATTATAATAATTATTTTTTTATTATTACTATTATCATAATTATTATTACTAGTAGTAGTAGAAGAGTAACTTCAAAACTTTTATCATTTAACTTTATTGTAAACTTATCTATTGCAATGTATATTTTCACATTAAAAAGCTCTGAAAAATGAACAGTATCATTATCGTCAACAGATTTTTTTAAGCTTAATGTCAAAGATGTACACTTTTCATTAGATTTATCTTGTTTTTTCATTTATTTTTTGTGTGTTGAAATGCAACAACTGTTTAAACACTTTTAAGGGAAAAAACATATTTAATATGTTTTTATACACTCAAATGTTAGGGTGATGATCATGTGTAAAACATTAGTTCAGCATGTCCTCTAACACAGCAAATGAACAAACGGCCAGATCTCAGGAGGGACCGTTTATGTATAAATACTATTTATACTTTTGACTAGGCCTGGGAAAGTAACACATTTTGCTGGACGATATTTTGTCCAACAAATTGTTGATGATAAACGATATCATTGTCAACATTATCTAGACCAAAATAACCACTAATATAATGTTAATATATCATAATAATGCAAGTACACCCTTTAAAATGCAACAAATAAACCTTCATTTAACATTGAAATGTCCAGAACCAGAACTTCTAAATGAATAAAAATAACAAACAAAAATTAAATAAAAAAGGAATCTCACTCCCTGTTAGAAAATGTTGCACCAAAAACAATAAAAAAAAACACCCAAAACAATAAATACAATGACCAATACATTGTCAACAGCCAAAACTGCACTTCAATAATGATAATAAATAAAAATAATAATAGAGTTGTACATTTTTTAACTTTGATATATATATATATATATATATATATATATATATATATATATATATATATATATATATATAGAGGATGGAAAAATTATTGAGATGGGCACGTGACGTGTCAAGGGGTCTTTACATAACACCCCCCACCCCAAATCCGCACAAGCCTGCTGTGTCCCCCCCACTTCTGAAATCAAAATTTCGTCCCTGTGTGCAACAGTATTTGTGGAGGGGGGCTGGGGAACTAGTGGCAGACAGTTTGTGCTTTTCTGAGTGATTCTGGCATCATCAACATAACGAGTGTGCTGAAATCTGTGAAGGGTGAAAAAGCAATTTGATCTCCCACAGCTGAGGGGGATTCACCATCACCAATAATTATCTTTGCACATGTGTATATGTGTGCTTGTGAGCATGTGTTTGTGTACATGTGACATATGCAAACATAGACAAATGCAGATTCTATGTACAATGTTAATGGTCCATTGCAGGGCATTTTTCTCTTAAACCATATGTGTGTGTGTGTGTGTGTGTTTTTTTTTATCTCTATCAGAAGTGTGGGGGTCATGAGGGTGACCTGCAGCTTCTATTGTAAAAGAATATGGAGAGTCATATCATATTGTCACCCATATATTCCTGCAAGGCTGGACACATCGCCTGTCTCGTGTAGTGTCTCAAACTTGCAGAAGGACAGACGAACAGATGGCTGAATGGGCTGGACAAAAGAACAAATGGTGAAGAGGGGGAGTAAGGAGGGGAGGGGAGAGGCATATTGGATCTCTTGAATGTGAATTATGCTATTATGGGATAGGTGTCCGTCACGCATCATCTGCATGCTCAAACACACACACACACCATTCTCCGGTTGCTGGTTCAGCTCCTCAGGCTTCAGCTTGTCACTTGCAAAGCAACACAGTAACACTTAAATACCAGGACAGAAAGAGAAAAAGTTAACAGGATGCTCGTGGACTGTGACAGTTTGAGTTCTCAGCTTGTTATTTTTACTCATGAATACACACAGTTCATACACTTGCACTCACCAGAACAAAACAGGTTTACATGCACAAACTGGTGTGCAAAAGAAACAAATACATGGGTGATACTCAAAAAAGGACTTGTTGTCTAAACTTTTAAAAAATGCCAGATGAAATAACACACATTGTTTCTTTTTTGAAAATAAAAAATTTATCTTGTTGAAATTTGTCATACATTCCCCAGCCACGTGACTAGTATGGAGTTTGATCCTGGTTCTTTGGAACTTTCTTAATTGTTTGTGTCGTAGTTTTTCCATAAAGTAAGTTAGTAAATTTTATTTATATATAGCACTAATCAAAGACAGAGAATCACAAAGTGCTTTGCATAAATAAAAAACAAAACAACACAAATCATAAAGTTGCTAAATCATAATTATCTCAAAACAGAAATTAATTCAAATCAGAAAAACCAAGCCATCCAGGCCATGGAATCCATTGAATTCAATGTACTGTTCAGAAAACCAGTTTGAGATGATGTGAGCTTTGTGACATGATGAATTATTCTGCTGGATGTAGTCATCAGAAGATTGTTCCATTAAGGGTCATGGTGGTCATGAAGAAGTGGACATGGTGAACAACAGTTCTCACAGCTGTGGTGCTAAAATGATGCTCAGTTGGAACTGAGGACTCCAGAGTATAAACAAGAACATATTTCCCATACCGGTCGACCACTGTAAGCAGCCTGAATTGTTAGTACAAAGCAGGATGAATGCAACCGTTTCATGTTTACAGCAAACACGTTTGTGAACCAGTTTGCATGTAAACAATTAGTCTGGCTGAGTTTGAACTGATTTTAATTGAGCTGAAGTAGCCGTTCCAGACTTCCTCTGCATGTAAACAGCTCAGCTGAGCAGTGACTAGCTAGGCACTTCCCATTCAGAAGTGATGAGAATGTGGAAGCAGGCTTCTGATAATACCGTTGCCTCAATGTAACACGTGTAACACCATCAAACATAACACTACATACCAAATAAGCTGTGCTGCAGCGTTGTTGTCTGCTATTCATGTGTTGCTATAGGCTAACTGGAAGAATGCAGAATCAAAAGGGCGCCACCTACCGCACCGAAGTGAAATGCGCTTCATGCAGTAGTTCAGTTTTCTAACGGGCACGTAAACTAGGATTAAAGCTCCCAGTTTTACCTTTACTATTGCCATATGCACATGAAAACACACTAATTCTGTGTATTTATTCAACATTCGAGGGCTGATTCTAATCTTTACAAATGATGTTTTAAAGGATGGATTAAACCAAAGTGCTTCTTGTCTTCTAAATAGTTTAAGATATGTTTTAATTTAAAGCTGAAGATTTTAGTAAAACCAAATAAATTTTTGCTTTATTAACTGTTTTTGTTTGTTTGTTTTTTGTTTGTCTCAGTGAAGGTGAATCAAAACCATTTAGTCAATTTTTTATTGAAAATCTGTTGGTCCAATTGGCAACTAATTTAATTTTTACTTACCGGTAATCCTATTTCAATTATCCAAAAGTTTTCATATTTAAGTCCAGCTTGTGTTTTGGTTACCTTTTTAGTGTGTTTCCCTTTTAGTACCAGTTATTTAATCATGCTAGGCATGTGTCTTATATAAAAACATCATGAATTTGTAACAACAGGTCCAATTAATATTCTACTATTCAAGTGATGAACTAATTTAATATTGGAGTGATGCTTGACTTGTCATGAGAGACATAGTGTTAAATTTTAAATGTGGCTATAAATGTCATTATATGCCACAGGGTCAGACTGGAAGATGGAAGAGACAGCTTTCCATCAGCCACGAAATATTATTCAAAGCCAATAAATGTCTACATCAGCTCAGAGGGTTTTCTCCATATGACAGGAAACTGTAGCAATAAATCAAATACAGTAAAATTGCCTTTAATTTTTAATGAATACTAAAGCACAAGTCCAGTCTAATTTCTGTTTTACTCAGATAGTGTCAACATATTGAAAAGCATATTTTTCATCAATGGCTGTCAGTGCGTTGGGTGTTCTTAAGCAAAGCATTTTAAGTTTAATAATGAAATCTATGAAGTGACTAGCAGCAAACTCCTCAATCACTTCATGCAGTTTATTATGCTAAACTCACCTTCTGCATCCTTTAGTGCTGCCATGTAGATTGCTACTGCCTCTATAAGCACTCCAAACGTAAAAAAAAATGCATCCATCCATTTTCTGTCAGTGTTTGGTTTTAGGAATTATGCGCCTAAAACAAGCCATTTCAAAAAGTTTCCAATTATGATGTCACAAATGAGGAAATTATTATGCAACCATCTCTCATGCGAAAGAGAGAGCTGCCACCAGTGGTGGCTTGTCCATAGGGGGCACTTGTGCACCGCCCCACCAGTCTAACAGGAAGAAGAAGAACATGGGAATTACAAAATATAAAAAAACAACATTAAAACTAAACTAAACTATCTATACATCAAACAGATTAAGTGGTGAGTATACTGTCATCTGCATTTAACAGTAGTTTAAAAATGTTATTTACACCTTTATCTCTACCAAATCATCTTGCGACGTGTTTCCTGTTCCTTTTGTGCGCAGCAATCTGTACCACTGAGCTACGCTAACTGGCGCATGCGCGCTGGTCCGTCCCCCCCCCCCCCCCCCCCCAATATAAAAAATAGGAGAGTGTTTGGAGGCAGAGGTATAGTCTCAGCTCAGGTCAGGACAGAACTGTAAATTCTCAAACCAAGCCCCTCCTGGGTATCGGTAGCCTGGCAAGCCACGCTCCATTAACGGCTCTCGGTTGTGGGGCGGGTTCTACCGCTGTCTTTCAAATGATCTCCACATTCCACTGGACAAAGAATGTGACATACTCTTGTTTCACTCTGTTGCATCATCCCACCCACCAGGCATATAGAGTGCCCTGATTGGCCCACAAAGCAGATAAAGCTCTGTAATTTGTTCTCTAAGCAGATAGAGCACTATGATTGGCCCACCATTATGGACCAATCACAGCTCTTTATGTGTTTGAAACCCCTCTAGAGAGCAGTGATTGGCTAGCCAGAGTCCTGGTAGGAGCTGCAGAGGTTCCAATGGAGCATGCCTAGACCAAACTTTGCAAAGCAAGAATTTGGTCTAGTTCACTGGGCTAGGGTATCGGAGCTTCTTCACAGAAAGAAGCCTGAGCAAGAGATGGGTGGGCTTGTTTCTTAAAGTGAAAAGTACTGAAAATGTCAACAATAAAACTGCTTTATGTGAGAACATGAGTATGTTTGTTATTGACCATAGAACCACAATAACATGAATGTAACTACATATTGTATGTGTTTGATTAAAAGCAGTCATGCTTTTTGTACAAGTCTGTGTCAATAAAACAACAAAGCTCCAGTATGAAGATCTTCACCACATTTGTTTGTATCTGTATTTACTAATGCAATATTCTGATGTACATCTGTACGTCTGTGTCCTTAAAGCTATTTCTCATTTTTCGAAACTCAAATTTAAATTTTTGTACTTTATTCTATTTATTGAAGGTTACAATAACACCTTTGTGTCTTCCCCTGTATTATTTTTCCTCCTAATCTCTGAACCCATCTTCCCACTGGAAGCATCAGCAGCACATAACGCCACTGCTTCAAATTAGAATCCATTTTGGTCCATGCGTGATTCAATCCAGTTCTGACGCGGAAAATTTTTAAGGTGCAACCCAGCAGCGCCACGCCACCAAAGATATGCCGCTAACTGCCTGTGGGTCATGTCAATTTCCGCAGTGAACATAGGGCTAGACAGGCAATCACACACAGTTTCAGTGTAAAATCCCTGTCGATTTTCAAAATAAAAGACTTTTGCAGCAATGGGATTTCATATCTATGTAGATTACATCAATAAAAGTGATCTAACGGCTTATTTACTCCAAACATCGTTCCAGAAGTGCAGTGGTGTGTTTTACATGGCTTTAATCCAGGCAGGGGAGAGGAACAACATCATATATGACATCCAACGTGTTTTCCTTCTTTTTGGTTTAATGGCGGATGGCATAAACAAGCCATGACCTTTGAAGTCTCGAGGGATTTTGTGATCTTGCGAGTCCAGTAAGGAGCAAAGCAGAGAAGCCGCTCCGTGGTTGAGACTCTCCCGGTGTGTACTGGCATGCAGCGATCGTCACGAGTAAACCGTTCCGCTGCGCTGATGCTTCTAGTGTGAATCAGGGGTAATTGTATGTGCTGTTCCGCACTGTGGAATTAATAAAGTCTATTCTATTTTATTTAGTTCTTTCCTCCGGCAAAACTACTTTTTAGTGAGCTGCGCTGAATTAATTTCTCGTCTTTAAACTCAGTCACAAACATCATGTTAAAAATGTGTCCTTCAAGTGTTCATCTTTGTAGATGACATTTGCTTTCTTCTCTCACCTCTCCTCCATCCCAGAGGTCCAAGATAGCCGTATATGAGAAGATGTGGTCATATATGAAGTCTGCCGAGCCGTCCGTCTTTACCAAAACCACGGCGGAAGGTGTGGCTAGAGTTCGCAAGTCCAAGGGGAAGTACGCCTTCCTCTTGGAGTCCACCATGAATGAGTACACGGAGCAGCGCAAGCCCTGTGACACAATGAAAGTTGGAGGGAACCTGGACTCCAAAGGATATGGAATTGCCACACCAAAAGGCTCACAGTTAAGGTGGGTGGAATAGTGTAACAATAGGAAGCAGTAGCAATGCTGTACTATTGCTGCGATATTCCACCTACCCTGCTGTGCCTCTGATTTTCCATCTATAGATCAACCAGTCACTGCTGTCAGGTGACTCACTTATCTCCAAAAATGTTATGATTGGTTATTGATTTATTCCAGTAGTAAAGTACATCGATTAATCATTACAATAAACATTATGCAACTGTTTTCACTTGGCAGCAATGACTTAGATAAGTGTTGAATTAATGTGCTTCATCTTGCCTTCTCATTAGCCTTGTTTTCTTTCTTTTCATCTTTTTTTGCTCTCATTTTCTTTTACGCCTTTGTGTGTAACTGTGCCTGCTTGTCTAGTCTATAGTTCCTTATGCTTTCCTGCCACTTCTATTAATTTTGCCTTGCATCCTTCAGATTTGTTTTATTACCCATATGTCTCTTCGTGGTTGTATGCCTTCTTTCTTCTCTGCTGCTCTGTCAACCATTCTTTTATTCCCCAGGGCCAACTTTCAGGTAACTCTGTTCACTTTTACCTCTTTAACGATGATGATGATGATGATAAATGTATTATCCAAATGTTGCCAAAAGGAGGGGCCGATCCTCAGACTGCTGCCATTTTCACTGGAGCCATAAGGGGGGGATTTATAGATGATCAGGGAACAGAAACAGGTAATTGAGGGGCATGGCCAATGGGGGGACAAGAAAATACAAATATTCAGGCACAAAATTTCTGAGTCACTAATTAGAACATGTCTTTTTCATTCTTTCATAATCTAAATTGGTAGGTGATTGAATTACACCAAAAGCGAGTTCACAGTTGGTATCAAATAGTGAAGACTGATTACATTATAACTACAACAAGAGTGTAAGATAGAGGAAATGAATGAGAAGCGACCAATTTTTCTTGAAGTAGGTCATTTTGTTATGATTTTTCCTCAGCTGACACTTGCATTCAATGTATTTACAGATTTCAATTAGATGTGCCAGCAATGAATAGACTATTTAAGCATAAACTGGATTTGGTCTGGTCTGTTTGATGGTTTACACAAATATCATCAGGCATTGCTCTTTAAGTCTAGTTTATAGTTCTCCGTTTGCAGTGGAACACCAAAATCCATCAACCTAAGCGTTGAGTGGCAGGCCCACAGAGGCTAATGGAGACATGTCCGTCAAAAGTGATGGAAATTGCAAGCCTGTGATTGGTCAGCACGCCACTTCCTTTAAAATCACCAGCAGCAATTTAATTCAATTTATGTATGTAGCACCAAATCACTATAGCGATCAACTGCGACTCACCATAAAATAGTGGAGTGCTGAAGATCTCAAGCAGCAGGTGCAGAGTAGATTGAAGGATGCCTTGCAGAAGAAATCTGATGACAAGAAGTTATACAAAAGTTTTAATTCACGAAAGGAAATTGCATGAAACGTGGCTTTAGAGGTGGCTGACTGCATGAAGGGGTGGAGGAGAATGAGGGAGAAATGTGTCCATGTTAAAAACTCTCTGAAATACATGTAAACAATATGAAAGCAAATACAAAATAGTATATAGACCATTGTGGACCAGACTTCTGTCTGCAACGGTAGCAGGACCCTCGCAGAAATACACTACGCCCTCTCTTTTCCTGGCGGGGAATTACTTTGCAACACTCCCCAGGTAATGGAAAAGTGTGGAAGAAAAACGTGTCTGTTGATGCATTTGTGTGACTTCGCACCGAACTGGAAAATAAATATAAACTAGCTTTTATTTTAAAGTTATTCAAATTATTCAAGAGCACATAAGTGAGAAATACATATTAAGATCTGTCATGTGGCCCACAATAGAACCCCTTCACTCTGGGTGGTGACCAAGCTGTGATGGAAAAGTTTAGCCAGAGAATTGACAGTTTTGGTAGGGTCTTGGCATAGCCTTTAGGTGCATGTTTAGAATGCAGTGGACTCATTATTATCAGTGTTGTATATATGCACACACCTTTATTGCAGGTTTGATGTGGTTTATTGTCTTAGTAGCAGAGTTAAATCAAGGTTGTACCTTTTGATGGGGCCATGTCTGGATGGGCCCCAATGGTGGTGCAACATTGGGCATAGAAGAAGAAGAAGAAGAAGAAAATATCATTTCTATAGCGCCTCTCAAGATAAAAATCACGAGGCGCTTAAATTGAACCTGCATACATTGCAGGTTCAGTGTGGAAACGAGTTGCTGACATTTAGTGTGGTAAATGTGCAGAAGGGTCCCACAAAATATCAGTTATAAAAAAAACAGTAATGTGATTATGATTGTCTTGTCGCCAAAGGAGGCTTTATTAAAGGTATGGAACACTTGTTTAATCAATACATTTGCAGTGGTCTGTAGTAGGAATAATTGCCTTTTAAGTCAGACTTAGAGGGAAACAAAGCCCCAGTGCGCCATTTTCAGTAACTAGTAACTAGTCTTATTTCCTGATATTTAGACATCTCGCCTCAGACAGGGTAACAGCAAATTAACTCTACTCTACAACTGACTCAGTTTACTCTGCAATGTTGATGTTTTACCTCCACAAATAACACAAGCCTGGAGGAGTTCTGCTGTGTGGTGGAGATTGCTAATGCTAACAGTTAGCTTCTACCAGCTGCTGAGTTTAGAAAAGACCCAAGCAATGGAATTTATACCCAGAATTTATAACACAGAATCACTTCAACTTTGCCAGTAGGTCATGTTTTCTTGCACAACACTGCTTTGTTGAAACTGAACAAATAAATATAAAATTCTAAAGCACGCATCAAATCATGCATGACTTCTTCTAGTTTGAGAATCTGAGATTTCTTAGAATTTTTCTTTCCCATTTTGCCATTACAGGTGATAAATTCCTCTTTGAATTTCAGAAAACTATAAATTAACAGAAAAACCTTCCCAACTCCTCCTTACTTTAATGTTTTTTTCATCAACTCTGTCTTCACTGAAGCAACTAAACCAAATCAAAACTAAAATAACTGTTTTGTTGATTTTTATTCTAGTTTGTGAAAAAGAAAAGCCCAATAGGCACTGACTCACATGGCTTCAAGCTAAGTAAATAAATTGCTGCTATTCATTTAAATATTCTGCAGTCTGAGCTCTAAAAAGGTCAGTGTGTCTGTGCCTTTTGGGTACCTAATTAGCACATCACTTCCACGTTAAATCCCAAAAGTCTAAAGTTTCAGCTGAAACCTGCTTTGAAACAGCAAAGTAAAGCTCAACCTCGTCTTCTCGATGTGACAAGTGCCCACGGAGGGAAAATAATTGACCAAATTTAGCAAAGTTTGACCTCCTGCTCTCTCTTCTGTCCCTCCATCTACCTCTGTTAAGAATGAAGGTTTGCTGCGTGTCCTAAATAGCACATCAGCTACACACCCTGTCCTATAACTCCCTCCTCCTCCCCTCATCTACTGTCCACCAGAACCTCAGTCCTTCTGCAGTTGACCTCTTATTTAGGAGATTGTTTCCATTAAACAGGGAGAAGTGACTGACCGCATGTGGTTGTGTTCCTTTTTAAGCCCCTAAAACATATTTCTGACTATCCACTGCTGTCTCTGGCTTCTCTCAGCTGGTGGAAACACACGTGGCTGTGAGTGTGCACGTCAGCTGAGTCTGCCTCTCCTCTTGTTGCATTATTCACACACATCTTTGACTTGGTAAAGTTAATGAGCATGAACACCCATTTAATAGAAATAAGCTTAACATATATTGTGTATTTCTTGCTTTCTGATGTAAAATGACTATGTGAATATTGATGACTAATTGTAATGTTGTTTATTTTGATTTATGATTATTAGATACGTTTGATCTTTTCTCCTCCATATTTTCTATGTTTAAAAAGTCACATTCTGTTGCTGAGATCACCCCAGAGAATGCTGTCTCATCTCTGAACCTCTTGATTCTTACTCTGGCCTATCTTTACAGCCTAAACTGTTATTTATTTGTTCATTTATTTATTTGTTTGCTTTTTTGTTTATATTATTAGCTGAAAACTTTTCACACAGTAAAACTCTGAGATCTCCTTTCCGTTCTGTAATAGATTACTGTCTAACTTTCACATTTCTTTGCTCCATTTACATCCTAATTATTAGCCCTTTGTAACCTTTTGTCACAAAAGTGCATCGAATCATGTTAGCGCCTTTAGGTGGAGCATTAGGATTAGTACTTTTATCATAAAGCTGCCACATCCAGTCCTATCCATGTCTACTGCCTCCTAGTGGAGGAGCTCAAGTTTGCAAGGGTCATTTGTATTGCTTTATTACTGTTGTAATAATTATATAATTACATAAGTAAATATAATGATATATAGGTGTTACATTAACATCAGCTAATAAATAGTTCCGATTTTGTAAGCATATTAATATTATTTCATTATTAATATTATTATTAGTAGTAGTAGTAGTAGTAGTAGTAGTAGTAGTAGTAGTAGTAGGAGTAGTAGTAGTAGTCGTATCATTATCATTGTCATTATTAGTATTAGTATTAGTATTGTGTCATGTTTTAAAGGTTTGTTGCATAGATTACACAATCTGCTGTAATGAATAGAGATGAGGACTGGACAGAAAACAAGTGAAAAAACTACTTTGTTCAAAAGAAAAGAGAAAAATACTAAGAAAGAACCTCAGAAAGCTTAAAACAATTTATAAAATCACTTTTAAAGATTCAACTAGTCTTACTTCACTCATTTCCTGTTTGAAAAACGTAACAAATGCTGTTGCCTGGCAGACCGAGAGGGCGAAGCTGCTAACAAATATGCACACGCAGGCTCATAACGACATTGTGACATCATAATGTACCAATGAACGTCATAATGTACCTCTTACACAATAGTGATGGAAGATTTAAATTAATTTGCTGTGCAGAGTTTTGGGAGTTGAAGGCATTACAACACTGACAGTTAAGTGCCAAATTATTGAGTACACATGTCTACAGCACGATTGGACACTCATTTGCATTGTTTATCAGCAAATAAAAGTTGATTTGGGGGTGACTTGCTCATTAATGAAATAGTTGTTGGTTTTTGTGCAAAGGCTCAACTGTCTAACTCGTTACCAAATCATCTCAGTTAGTGAAAATGAGTGTAGAGTAGTGCGATAAAGGCAACAAGTGCTGATCTAAATAGGTCTAGCTGCAGAAAGTTCATTTAAATGTCGGATACACATTTGCATACACTGAAGAACTTGAGGATATTTAACCCCACATCCCTGGATTCAGTTTTAAGGTCAGCCTACTTAGTAAAAATACTCTACATACAGCACGCATCCATACATATTAAAAAAGGGGAACTGTTGAAGTGAACAAGCTGCAGAAATACTACCTGACACAGTGTTGCATCTTCTTTTGTTGCAAAGTGATGCTCAGCATCAGAAGAAGATAGAAACTGACAATTAATGAAACAAATTCAAACAGCAGGAGGCAGCATTGTTTGGGGTGCATCTCTTACCTTGATCTCACCTCAACTCCTCCTGATTTTCCCTCCTCTCTTCCTCCTCCAACACCCCCTCCAGCCTGTGGTTTCCATCATTCTTGTCTGTCCCTCCATCCTCTGCTCTGACCAAACTATTTTATCTGTCCCTCCTTTCTTACTTAAAGAAACGCGGTCAACCTGGCCGTGCTAAAACTCAACGAGCAGGGCCTGTTGGACAAATTGAAAAACAAGTGGTGGTATGACAAAGGAGAATGTGGCAGCGGGGGAGGGGATTCCAAGGTTAGCCCTCTATGTCTGGCCCCCCCAACCGCTTTAGGTGACGGGGGCCGCTCAGTGGCCGAGTGGTTCACGACAGCCCCCGTCCTCAGAGTGTGTAACACACGCACCTGCCCCAGCAAATGACTTCAAATTGTCTAAACATTACATATGTCTTCATCTGTGTGCTTCTTTAAGTGCAGGTAAAAGTGATAATCAGCTAAAAAAGACAATATTAAAAGTGTGTTTGGCCTTCATTTGGTAATGCTTTACAACGAGTGAGCCCAAAGGTAATAAAAACCCCTGTTTCAAATGCACATGATGGCAAAGAAAGGGTGAGATCACTGTGAAAACAGGCATATTCGCCCTCTGGTGGCAGCCCTGGGAAGAGGAGAGTGAATAACTGAAACCCAGACCATCCATACTCACCTGATGAGCTGACTTGTGTCTGAGATTATGTCACCCTACATTATTAATAGAGGCTTATGCGTCTCATCTTTCAGATATGATTTTTGTTTCAGTATTGATGTTGCTTTTTTTTGTTGCTTCTACTCTTTAATATTAAGGCATTCTCAAGGTGAGAAGGAAAAATGAGTCCATTCAGCTAATGATGATAGAATTTATTGCTCTGCTGCTGGATCACAAATGGTGGTAAATGTTATCAAGTTTATCTGCATGATTCGCCCTCCATAACAAATGTGAACTTTTAATTTGTGCAACCCAAACCAAGGTCATTTACATTTACAATGTGTTTTGTGATGGGAACAAATTTCATTAAAATATTTTACTTAATTCTGCAGTTTTTACAGCTAACAGAGAAGTTCTCCAAGCTGCATTGATTTTACACTCTTCTAACTAGTTCATGCAGATTAGCTGCTTTTTCCAGAGAAGCAATACAAGAATTGCTTCTTAAGCATGAAAAGGATTTAAGGAATATAAGACGTAATTATTCTCTTCTTATTTCCTCACAGAACATCAAGATGACTTGTCTTAGCAAGTTTAATTGAGTTTGGGGTTTTGAAAGGTTAGCCAAAATGGTTTTGTGCCACTATACACAAGACTGATTTATCTTCTAGAAGAATGCTTTGACCGCATGCTGGCACCAGATAGATGAATAAAGTCATACAAATTCACCTTCAAATGATTATGAATCGCTGTATATTTATGGCTATTCACCGGAGAAATGTCCGGATGTTTTAGTTTATCCAAAACCTGAAAATGTTCCAAGGATAATAAAAACAGGTAGATTGAGAGTTTATTAAATCTCCTTGAATGAAAACCCAGAGTCGGCCTGATGCTAATAGTCCTGATTTGATACTAACTTGTGGTTGATATTGGCCAGCTGGGGCAGAATGGGTGTGTTACCAGGAGTGACAAAGGTGGGTCCCACTCATATGTCTGTAGCTCGACTTAGCTCCTTCGTTTCCCCCCCGGCCCCTCCTCGAACGAGCGTACACACATGTACTCAGTGGGATCCATGCTAGGTCACCTGATGTATGACAAGTTTCTATGTATCTGAGCTGTTCAATGCAAATGTGAAGTACTATAATAACATAAAATAACATGACCTATGATGTTATTTATGTTATTTTTACACGCAAAGAACCCCGGTAAACCTTGCAGTTTTGAAACTGAGCGAAGCAGGCGTCTTAGACAAACTGAAAAACAAATGGTGGTATGACAAGGGAGAGTGTGGACCCAAGGACTCTGGAAGTAAGGTCAGTCTCACGCTGCTGCAGCCTGCAGAACGCTAGTCTGAAACTCATCATGAATACGCTCCAGATTACTGCAACTACTGCCTTAGAAACAGCTTTTCCTCAAACACTTTCTTAATTAGTCTGAAACTGGTTTCAAACATGTTCAATGTGAGACTCAAAGCTCTATTTGGATGATTTATTAAAAGATGTAATTATTTATAAAACTGTGTTCTGGTTTATTAGACACCAGAACGAATTCAGTTTCTGTAGCAATCTGTGGCAATTCCATCTTCATTATTGTTATAGTATTATCGCAAATCTACACTTTTCATAATTTTTATTCTCATTTGAAAATTAAAGCTGGGGTATGTAGTGTGACATCATCAAGGAGCCGAAAGCCATGCCTCATACCACACACATGCACACTAACAGCGCTAGCAGAGGGTACCCCTGTGGCTGCATTGGTTTTTAGTTTTTAAATGTTCCTGCTCAGACACACTTGCTAATCACTCATTTTAATCAAATCTGCAGTCTTAAAGCAAGGAAGCTTTTAAATATGGCAGGAATCCGGCAATTGTGATGCTAGCATACCCTTTACTAATGCCACAACAGGCTAAAACATAGACAAACCCTTTTTCGTTCCACTTCCTCCTCTTCCACAGTTAGCATGTTGTTTACAGACTCACAATGCAGGTCGAGTTAGCATCCAAGCTAGGTTGGTGTGCTAAGCTGACTGAGGCGTCTGCATCCCCCGTAGTGAATGCTGGGAACTGCAGCACATTCTCATTGATCGACAGTTCCCTCTTGTGGATACACAATTCTGTTGGTCATTTCTATAGGAGGATCTTTGTTGACATCTTTTTTCATCTTTGTGTGCATGCGCCAGTGGCTGAGCGGCAAAAACAAACTGCTATCAATTTGCGCCGTACACTTTTAAAAGAGTTTATGAACAGAATCCCTGATAAATAAATACTTCAATGTCTAAAGACAAGAGGAGGTTTGGACAGAAGCTTAAAATCTGTATTTAAGGTTAGTAAAAGGTTAGTAAAAGCCCGTATGCACTGATGCAGGTGCAGAAGCATGACTCAGGCTTAAGTCTTCATTAATCTGTGTCCTTATTTATTTATTTTTTTGTTATTTTAGTGATCGGGGATTGAGACACCTGAATCAGAACGCAAAACAACATGACTCCGTGGATTTAAAAATACATGAAGATGAATGTATTTAAATGCATCTTCTCTGATTAACAAATACGTGGTCACAAAAACTTACCGTGAACAAAATGAGCCTCACAAACTGCTAGTTGCTGCAGGAGTCCAGGATTTTTCGGAGAGTCCGGTTCGCTTCTCATCATCTCTTTCGTACTTCACAGTTGTTTACGGATGAAATTCCAATAAAACTTTTTATCAAGCCTCCCACGAGCCAAATTATCAACAGCAAGAATAGTCCATCCACTTTGCGAAATCCTCCTCAAACATGCAAAACAATTAAATTATAGTCAAAATGCGTTGTTTCTTGCCACACACTACCGTGATGCACTGCAAAAAGCATGAACACTGACATCACAAAAGATCCTCCTATTGATCAATACTCTAGGCTCGCGTAAATTATCTGGCCAGAGGAAGGACTTGGAGGAAATATAAATCACGAAAAATGCTCTACTTTATAGCATAGAACAGGATCAGATTAAAGCCCTGCACGGGCCTAAAATCTGAGCCCGTGTCCGGCCCGGCCCGAGGGGGTGGAGCCCCAGCCCGACCCGGTCCGAAAAGGTTTTCAGGATTCTCTGGCCCGACCTGAGCCTGAGCCCGACTTTTTTTCAACCAACTAAATGAAAACAAAGTGCGTCAATCCTGACCAATGTGTTAAAAGACGTGCAGGATCCGATCAATTTGTTTTTCCCTCATTTACCGTTACGGAGATAACGGCGCACTGGCTCTGGTGGTAATCAAGTTAAATTTTATCTCTTTCCAACAATTTTCAAAAGAAAACAAAACAGTCAAAAGCAGGGCTTGTGTTGTTTGGACCGGATAGTTCCCGTATTTGACCGTTTATGTTGACGGAGAAAGAATAGAAAGAATTACCCCGACGCAAGCAGACGAACTGACATTTTATTCTACCCACATCGCAGATGTAGCTAAATCGCTCAAGAAAAGATTCACATCTGAACATCTGAGCTGGACACTGCTCAGCACATATGTGCACAGCGAGCTGAAGTTGTGGAGATTGGCTTGGAGCGCGTCACAGAACCAGAGCGCATGCGTGAAGGTTCCTCCCACTGAAGCTAGTGTTTTCCAAACCCTGTCTCTCAGAGAGCCTTGTCACTTAGAAAATGTTCCCTGATTATGAAACTTTGGCTGAATAGCGCTTGTTCCTGTCTCCAATGTGGCAATGCATCCAGGAGCCGTCTGAGGAGAGTCCCAGAATCTCACATCCTCTTCAGCTCAGAAAGCGCCTATGATTACGCACAAGCGTGACGCGTCAACCCGGTCTCACAGTAAGACCGGGTTGGGCCTGTTCAGGTTTACACAGACAATCTTTACATAGAATTGACTTACAGATATAAAATTAATTCAGTAAAATATAAAGCATTTTATTTAAATATCCATTCATTATTTTACAAACACAGAGAGCCGCATCAGATTCAGATCAGCGGGAAGATTCCTCCGACTGAATTCAGTCGGAGGAATCTTCCCGCATGCGCTCTGGTTCTGAGACGCGCTCCAAGCCCCTCTCCACATCTTCAGCTCACTGTGTACCTTATGTAGTACGCACTGACAGCGAGCTGCGCTGAGCAGTGTCCAGCTCAGATGTTCAGATGGGAATCTTTTCTTGGGTGATTTAGCTACATCTGCGATTTGCGTAGAATAAAATGTCAGTTTGTCTGCTTGCGTCGGTGTAATTCTTTCTATTCTTTCTCCTTCAAAATAAACGGTCAAATATGGGAACTATCCGGTCAACACAGCACAAGCCCTGCTTTTAACTGTTCTGTTTTCTTTTGAAAATTGTTGCAAAGAGATATAATTAAACTTGATTAACACCAGAGCTAGGCGCACTGCACCGTTATCTCTCACTGTAAATGAGGGAAAAACAAATTGATCTGATCCTTTTCTGACCTTCCCCACCTACAAAGTTTAATTACAACAATCAAACGTGACAGAGCCTGGATTTGTATTCTGAACAGTCTAAACATGTTTTAAAAAGAAACGTATGACAAAAGTGGCACCTGCTCAGTAAAACCACCAACAGGGTGAAAAATATCAAAATATTGTAGGCAGAGACGGGCTACAACTTCTGGATCCACTTTATATAAATCGTTTTATTGATTATCGTCTTATGAAGGATAACTTTGACATACACGAGCGACCGGTACTGGCTGCTGTCACCTGTTGTGATTGGTTAAAGCAGCTCTCTGCTGTCTGAGGGTAGGCCCCGCCCACAACGCCGCGGCTGCTGTGGCAGCCAGTGTTTTCTTTACTGTGGGAAACAGGTAATAATGGCTCTTTGATGGGAACAGGTTGCCGACCCCTGGTTTAAGTGTTTCATTTTTTTTATGAATTTGATTAAAAATAAAGGCGCCCGGCCCGTGTCCGAGGGCCGTCAGGCCGGGCCGACCCGAGGGCCTAGGGCTTTAGTGCAGGGCTCTAGATCAGATAGTCAAATGTAGTCAAATGTAAGCATTTTTTAGGTTACTTCTAACAAGTTAAACTATGCACCCCAGCTTTAAATGTCATTGAACACATGCAGTAGATGGGAAAAACACTGTTTTAAGTACTAGCTAGTTAAAATATGTAACTACTGGCTCTTGCTTTCCTATTTAGCTATATTTTTCATTTATTTAACATTATATTCTTAATATACTTGTAAATAATTTCCTCCTTTCTGTAGCAGAGGAATGTTATTTGGATAAACTAATGCGGTCATTTTGATGAATGCACAGTCCACAAAGAGTAAGGTTGATTATAGATGGAATTACATGTAGGAAGCTGTGGCATATGTCACCATGTGCGCAGAAAATGTGTGAATTTGTGAACAAAATAATTAACTTAAATGCAAGTTAAATGAAAACATAAGCAGCTGACTGCACATGCAAATAGGATAGTTAAACCAAATGACAGTTATGTTATGTATTCTTTAATCCACTAAACCTGTGAATAGACTTATATTTTTTAACTGTCAGCATAGCCACTGAGGATTTTGTACTCATTAATAGATCACATCCTGAATTAAAAACAACATTTACAAAAAGTATTCCAATTAAAAATAGTCTAAATTCTATTTTTTGGTTCTTTTTTAAAACACAGATAAGGTTTTTCTTTACCTTGCTGATGTTTCGTTTGCAGCTGCAAACATCTTCAGAGCTGACGCTGATGGTGGCGTCACTTCCTACTCCATTTATCCGCGGGCAGCAGAGGACATTGTCGCCCGCTGCTGCCCGCTTTCCCCTCTCCGATGATGCAGTCCCATGCGCGATCCAATGAGTAAACTCCATCGTCTCTGTCCATGGTCCCACATCCATGTCTCCTTATCTCTATAGCTTCTTTTATCCATCTTTTGTATTTCTGTTGTTCGGTGTTTATGATCCTTGTGTTGTCCCAGGTTTTCTCTTGTGCAGTGATCTGTTACGGCCGATTTCTTTATTGTGCTTTCTGCTTCTTCTTTTGCTGGTCTTGTGTGTCTTCGACTTGTTTCATTCTCGCACTATGGACATCAGAACACCCCACCATACATAAAATGTCAGTAATCAGAACATTATATCACCGAGCAAACATGATAACAGAAGAAAGAGACGTAAACAAGAGGACAAACACATACAACACGCTTTAAAGACCTGTAGATACCCAACATGGGCAATAAACAAAGGAAAACAACAAACAACAACAGAAAGAAAAGAACAACCAAAGCAAAGAACCAGAAACCCAGAAACCCAGAAAGACAAGAACCAAAACCAGTGATAACCTTACCATACATCAGAGGCATAACAGAAGAAATAAGAGCAACAATGATAAAACACAACATAAACACACCAACAAAACCATACACAACAGTTAGAAACAGACTAGTGCACCCAAAAGACAAGATATCAGCTGGACTTAAATGTGGAGTCGTTTACGAAATCCCATGCAAACTCTGCAATAAAACATACATAGGAGAAACCGGACGCCAACTCAACACACGAACAATAGAACATAGAAAGGAGTGCGAGAAAGAGGCATGTCGAAAACACACAAGAGCAGCAAAAGAAGAAGCAGAAAGCACAATAAAGAAATCGGCCGTAACAGATCACTGCACAAGAGAAAACCATATAATGGACGGGACAACACAAGGATCATAAACACCGAACAACAGAAATACAAAAGATGGATAAAAGAAGCAATAGAGATAAGGAGACATGGATGTGGGACCATGAACAGAGACGATGGAGTTTACTCATTGGATCGCGCATGGGACTGCATCATCGGAGAGGGGAGAACGGGCAACAGAGGACGACAATGTCCTCTGCTGCCCGCGGACAAACAGAGAAGGAAGTGATGCTACCATCAGCGTCAGCTCTGAAGATGTTTGCAGCTGCAAACGAAAATGTCAGCAAGGTAAAGAAAAACCGTATCTGTGTCTTCGTCCTCGTCTTCGTCTTCCTCCGCTTATCCGGGTCCGGGTCGCGGGGGCAGCATCCCAACTAGGGAGCTCCAGGCCGTCCTCTCCCCGGCCTTGTCCACCAGCTCCTCCGGCAGGACCCCAAGGCGTTCCCGGACCAGATTGGAGATGTAACCTCTCCAACGTGTCCTGGGTCGACCCGGGGGCCTTCTGCCGGCAGGACATGCCCGAAACACCTCCCCGGGGAGGCGTCCAGGAGGCATCCTGACCAGATGCCCAAACCACCTCAACTGGCTCCTTTCGATCCGGAGGAGCAGCGGTTCTACTCCGAGTCCCTCCCGAATGTCCGAGCTCCTCACCCTATCTCTAAGGCTGAGCCCGGCCACCCTACGGAGGAAACTCATTTCGACCGCTTGTATCCGCAATCTCGTTCTTTCGGTCATTACCCAAAGCTCATCACCATAGGTGAGGATTGGGACGTAGATCGACCGATAAATCGAGAGCCTGGCCTTCTGGCTCAGCTCCCTCTTCCCCACGACAGATCGGCTCAGCGTCCGCATCACTGCAGACGCCGAACCAATCCGCCTGTCGATCTCCCGATCCCTCCTACCCTCACTCGTGAACAAGACCCCGAGATACTTAAACCCTTTTCCGGTCGAGAACCATGGTCTCAGATTTGGAGGTGCTGATCCTCATCCCAGCCGCTTCACATTCGGCCGCGAACCTACCCAGCAAGAGCTGAAGGTCAGAGCTGGATGAAGCTAGGAGGACCACATCATCCGCAAAAAGCAGAGACGAGATTCTCCTGCCACCAAACTCGACACACTCCACACCACGGCTGCGTCTAGAAATTCTGTCCATAAAAGTGATGAACAGAACCGGTGACAAAGGGCAGCCCTGGCGGAGTCCAACCCTCACCGGTAACAGGTCCGACTTACTACCGGCTATGCGGACCAAACTCACGCTCCTCTGGTAAAGGGACTGAATGGCCCTTAACAGAAAGCCACCCACCCCATACTCCTGGAGCGTCCCCCACAGGGTGCCCCTGGGGACACGGTCATAAGCCTTCTCCAAATCCACAAAGCACATGTGGATTGGTTGGGCAAACTCCCATGCCCCCTCCATCACCCTTGCAAGGGTATAGAGCTGGTCCACAGTTCCACGGCCAGGACGAAAACCACATTGCTCCTCCTCTATCTGAGATTCAACTATCGATCGGACCCTCCTCTCCAGTACCTTGGCGTAGACCTTTCCAGGGAGGCTGAGGATCGTATCTACACATCGTATCTGTGTTTAAAAAAAAAAGAACTAAAAATGGAATTTGAAGACAAACACAGCAAGAACGTACAAAAGATGTCTAAATTCTCACAAGAGCCTTTACTTTTCCGTTACACTGGAACAAAAAGTTGTCACTGACTAAAACATACCACACCCAGATGTTACACAGATGTGTTGTGTGTTATAGTGTTGTGCTGGCAGTAGTGCAACTTGTAGTATTTTTTTAGTATATAGAAGTACTTTGCAGTGATTTGATGATAATAACAGCCTGTCACTGTGTAGGATAGAAAGATTTTCTCTTGTTTTGTTCTTTGATCTCCATTTCCCAGTGTCTAACTTCCTGTTTGTTATTCTCTCTCTTTTTCCTGCCTTTCCATTCCTCATTGCACTTTTACACTTGGCCTTCTATCATGATAATGCTCTCTCTACCTATCACTTTTCCATCTTTCTTTGCCTTTTTCACCTCTATTCACCCACTTCTTTCATTTGGCCATTGCCTTTCTCACATCCACCGACACTCCGCCCATCCTCCACCATCCCTCGCTTTCCTCTAGGACAAGTCGTCTCAGGCTCTGAGCCTGTCCAACGTGGCGGGGGTCTTCTACATCCTCGTGGGCGGCCTGGGCCTGGCCATGCTGGTGGCCCTGGTCGAGTTCTGCTACAAGTCACGGGCCGAAGCAAAGCGCATGAAGGTGGACCTTAGCCCCCCCCACTGTCCCAGCCCCTCCCCCAGCACCCAGAATCTAGCCACTTATAGGGAGGGGTACAACGTGTACGGCTCCGAGGGGGTCAAGATATAGGGGTAGGATTTAGAGGCTCCCATGTTTAGGTGGGGGTAATGGTGGTGTTGATCATGGTGGTGGTGCTGTAGCGTTTGTACCGTTGAGGCTGTCGCAGCAGCTCCACGTTTTATTTTTGTTTGTTTTTTTACATGTGATGATGAGGATGTGGTCAAGCATTGTGGAACCAATGTGCAACTTTTTTGTTGTTTGTTTATTTATTTATTTTTTCTTTATCAGCAAAATAATTTCTTGGATTTGTGACTTAAAATTTTAGTTTTTATTTAGATTTGTGTAACTAAAACTTGGTTCCATTGTCTTTGGCTGCAAAGGATGATGATGATGATGATGATGATGATGATGATGATGATGATGATGAGGATGAGGAGGATGACAGTGATGGTGATGCTCTTGTCTAATGAATCTAAAAGACCCCTGCATTGTTATCTTAGTCAAATGCTATTAACATAGTGATGAAGCAGGGATGCACAACTCCAGGGCTGCAAAAAAATGTGAAGTAATTCATTCATCTGTTGTCATTTTCTGAAAAACTTTGAAAGTCTCTTTAAAACGGAAAGGACCTTTCAAAAGTCATACATTTATTCATTTATTAACTGTAAGGTAACAAAATGGTAGCTCATATATTAAAATAGCATCATTGTAAATATAATTATGTAACTACGTTAATATTGGAAAGAAACTGCGTCATTTATAACTTGATTCACCTTTTTCTGTTAAGCTGCTGTAAGACTAGAGTTTATTTTGGTATTTCTTCATCCTGAGAGCAAAACCTTGTTACTGAGGTGTTCCTCGTTAAAGTTTCTCTCTGCTTCCAGCTACAAATTAATTAGCAGCTGCTTGGACAGCAGTTGTTGCAGATTTGCTTCTGACTAGCATATATTTTAAAAACTCATGATGTGACTGACTTCCCACAAAGAAAAAAAATAATTATGAGGATAATTTGATGCTCAGCTTTCCTCAGCTGTTCATTTATTTTTATGTCTTGACCTCTGCATTCTCGCTGGCACCGTTGTGGAGGAAAAGACGAGCAGCGCCGTGTGCTTGTTAGGGCCAGTTTACTGTGAACCCACTTCCTTTAATTCAGACTGAGAGTTTGCTTTGGATGGCTATAGCAAATCTTCTGCAGCACAGAAATCTCCTTAGTGCTCATTTTAGTAATTTTTTTTTACTGTTTGAGTTTTAAAGGGAGAAGATAGAAAATAATTTACTCCAGCTTAAATGACATTCTCAGTGGTGTGCAAAATACTGTATGTTCCTTCTTACAGATTCCTTCTCTCCTCAGACAAATATAACCTGAGTAAATATAATACCTGTTTCTAAATGCTGAAGCCAAAGGCCTCTACTGACCAAAAAACAACAAGAAGACGATGATTCTTGAGATTTGAGGAAATATTCATTTGGACTAAAGAGACAAAACGATGGATTAAAATGGTAAATAGTAAATAGACTTCAAGGGTTCTACCCCCCCCCCCCCCCCCCCTCCCAAAAAAGGCGCTTCACAGCACATCCAGTCATTCACACACACACATTTAGATGCTGGTGGTGATGAGCTACAGCATAGCCACAGCTGCCCTGGGGTGCACTGACAGAAGCGAGGTTGTCGTACACCAGCACCACCGATGCCTCCAACCTCCAGTGTCAGGCAACATAGGTTAACGCTGCAATGACAAATCTGAAAAAAAGCTAGCTTAAAACATTTTTTTTTGCCTCTTAACAACGCTCTAGCATAATAAAGCAATAAATATGTTGTAGAGATACTAAAAAAATAAGAATAAAGTGTTTTCTCATGTTTGTCTAAAAACAGCCAATAACAAGACTCGTTCCAAAACCATTACTGCACCATCCGGTTGTTGGTCTCACCGAACTGCCACACTTCCGCATTTACCTGGGTCCTCCATTTATCACACACTCTCATATTTAGCAACAGAGCACCACTGGTGTGAGCAGATCTCCGCTCAATAATACCAGCGAAGGAGAAACAGCCGGCTGCTACCAATTCATCTTTCGGACAAACTACCAGAGTCCCAAAAAGATATTCACCATTTAAAGTCATAGACAACAAAAGGCCTTTTGACCTAGAAAACAGTGACTGGTGTTAACTCATTCTCAGCCAGCCATTTCCTGATCGGTAAAGCTCTTCGCTGCCAGCGTTTCTCACCGTTTTTACTGTTTTTTTAAGAGTCACAGAATGTTGCGTGCTAGGACGATGTCGACGCCAAAACAACTAAATCAAAGTGGAGACTCACCTCTCACATAAAGATGAATCTGCGCGTTTTGAGTGTTATTCTGTTCTTTCATAATCCATTGTCGAGTTGTGATCGTCAGAAGCTTTTCCGGTTCGTCCCTCACTTTTTTTAAAGCAGCGGCCCAAAACGATCTCCTAACACATGGATTTTCTGCTTCCTGATCACGTGACGTGTGACGTATGCAGATGAAGATCAGCTTTAGAGCTGAGATGTTTGTTTTCATGATGCGGGGCCTTGTTCCGATGCCCACACAGTAAAAACATGCAAATGACGACTTTAGTCACCAGAGCAAAACGTCTGTCAGTGCGTGTGCGTCTGTCCCTCGTGGAGCTGATGGAGAAGTACAAATCAGGCTTAAGCGTGTTTACCCGCATGAAAAGGTTTAGAGGTCAACACATTTTCACATATACCCAATTTGGTTTGGATTAATTTTTATGCATAGTTAATAGAAGCAAATTGTGAGAACTACTTTTGTATTTATTCAGGTTATATTTGTCTGATATTGACATCTGTTTGCTGATCTGACACTTTTAAAAAGTGACAAAAAAAAACAAGTCACCACTTTAAGATATAATTATTAATCAATTTAGATACTTACTGATTTCTTTGTGGCACATTAATTTATATTCTATATTGTCGTCATCCATCATCTATAACCTATTTCTGCCCTAACTGTAACAATGGTGATGTTTATGATCATGAATCCACCCTGATTTAAGCACAGCTATATGTGTGTCACACGTTCAGTCTGAATTCCAAGTCCTAAAGATACATGCGGGTATGAAAAGCACCTTTAGAGCCCCGATTTTGAACTCATGTATTGTTTCTTTATTGTGTCATCCATAAAGTGGAGTTGTGCAGCCCTGCTGTAAAAGGTCTAAACAGGCGCTTTTGATTTATTCCAGCCCTGAAATCTTTAAAACAGCCCACCTACTCACTTAGTGTTAATGCAGAGGAATAGCTGATGAAGCAAACACTTCATAAAGAACAGCTACTTAGTGATGTTAATGCTAAATAAGCATTAAAACACACGTCTATTGGTTAACCTGAGCAATTAAAGTCGAGTGAGGTAAAAGACACAGTTTGTTTTATTACTCAGTGAAACAAACCATTGAGAGAGGTCCTTTTCACTGAGGTAGAAAAATAAATCTAGCTGTTACACTAATGGCTCATTTTAAATGATGTTTAACGTTTGCCTGAGATACACATTTAGCCAATCTTACCTTATATCTATAATCAAAGGAGCTAAAATACTATCCAAAGCATTTACAATTCATAAAAGGAAATCTGTGTTTCTTCTTTATTTCATAACAAGGCAATAAGTAAAAGAAAATGTCCTCGTTTTATTTAAGTAAAATTACACATTGAAAAGATATTAGCTAATATACTCTCCATCATTTTTTAAATCAAACCTCATGAACATTATTCTTTCAGGGGAAAAAATCTTACTTTTTTTTCTGGATGGCCAGAACCTTTTTTATGGGACTCCCTAAAAAGCATCCAAATCCAAAGGTTTATCATGAACACGTTATGCTGAGCAGAAATACAGAGGGGCAAAAAAGTATTTAGTCAGCCTCCAGTTGAGCAAGTTCCCCCACTTTGGTCCCACACAGAAAATCACATTGTCTGATTTTTTAAAGAATTTATTTGCAAATTATGGTGGGAAATTTTAGTGGATAACGAAATTCCATCTCAATACTTCATTTCTCTTTGTTGGAAATGACAGAGGTCAGACGTTTTCTGTAAGTTTCCACAAGGTTTTCACACACTGTTGCTGGTATTTTGGCCCATTCCTTCATGCAGATCTCCTCTAGAGCAGTGATGTATTGGGGCTGTCGCTGGGCAACACTGACTTTCAACTCCTGCAGATTTTCTATGGGGTGAAGACCTGGAGACTGGCTTGGTCACTCGAGGACCTAGAAAAGCTTCTTACGAAGCCACTTCTTCATTACCTGGGTGGTGTGTTTGGGATCATTGTCACGCTGAAAGACCCAGCCACGTTTCAACTTCAAGGCTCTTGCTGATGAAAAGAGGTTTTCATTCAAAATTTGACGATACATGGCCCCATTCATTCTTTCCTTTACACAGATCAGTCATTCTGGTTCCTTTGCAGCCCCAAAGCATGATGTTTCCACCCCCATGCTTCACAGTTGATATGGTGGTCACTGGGTGGTCATTGGATGCAACTCAGCATTCTTTCTCCTCCAAATGCAACGAGTTGAGTTTTTACCAAAAAGTTCTATTTTGGCTTCATCTGACCAAATGACATTCTCCCAATTCTCTTCTTGGTCATCCAAATGCTCTAGCAAACTTCAGATGGGCTTGCATGTGTACTTCATAAGTAGGGGTACATGTCTGGCACTGCAGGATTTGAGTCCCTGGTGGTGTAGTGCGTTGCTGATGGTAGCCTTTGGTGGCCTGGCAAGCCAGACTATATATGTGAATATATAAACTGAATATATACAAACTTTGCAAAGCATTAATTTGGTCTAGTTCTCTAGGCTAAACCTTTGGAACTTTGGCCCCGGCTCTCTGCATGTCATTCACTAGGTCCCCCATGGTGTTCTGGGATTGTTGCTCACTGTTCTTGTGATCATTTTGACCCCATAGGGTGAGATCTTGCTTGGAGCCCCCGATGGAGGGAGATTACCCGTGGTCTTGTATGTCTTTTACTTTCTGATAATTGCTCCCACCGTTGATTTCTTCACACCAAGCTGCTTACCTATTGCAGATTGTGCAGGTCTACAATTTTGTTTCTGGTGTATTTTGACAGCTCTTTGGTTTTGATCATGGCAGAGTTTGGAATGTGACTGTTGGAGGTTGTGGGCAGGTGTCTTCTTCACTGATATCGAGTTCCAGCAGGTGCCATTAATATAGGTCACGAGTGGAGGACATAGAAACCTCTTACAGAAGAAGTTACATGTCTGTGGGAGCTTGTTTGTACCAGATACTTATTTTCCACCATAATTTGCATAATTACTGAAAAATCAGACAATGTGATTTTTGGGATATTTTTTCTCATTTTGTCTCTCATAGATAAGATATACTTATTATAATGAAAATTACAGGCCTCTCTCACCTCTTTAAGTGGGAGAACTAGCACAATTGGTGGCTGACTAAATTCTTTTTTTGCCCCACTTGTAAGTACATTTTTGTCCCAACAGCAGCAGTAACATCACCTAGCAGCCTGTTCGTGTGAAGTGTCGTCCAGCTCTGAGCAGTATATTCAGTCACTCCCTCTCTATAAATCTGAAACTTCCAAACAAAAATCACTCCTTCACATTCTCCGTTTGTCTTCCCGGCTTCCTCACACTCCTAATCCTATTTTTTCAAATCCCCAACTGAATCTGTCAGCGTACTAAAACCCACAACCCAGAAATGCATGGTTTCCTCTAATGCAGATGTCTACAACCCAAATCGTGTCATATGTGTTTGCTGACCGTTTGCCTGCTTTGTCTTTTTAAAACACTGTATGTTGATGTTACACTGTATGATTTGAATGTGTAGTTTAGGGTGCATTCACACCTCTACTGGTTTAAGGTTCTCAGAAAAACAGATGAGAATGCAAAAATTCACAAAATCCGCAAGGATGTAAATAAATGATATTGGTGATGACCATCGCAGTGGAGGACTGTTAGTCGCATTGCATTTAGAAATTGTAAAATGTGTTTGCCAACATGAATGTAACATAACGAAGCACAGTAAAACAAACAAAAAACAGATGCAGTTCTTTTAATTTGCTGCCAGGTCATTTTATGTTTAGTATATAGAAGTTTCCATTTATATTAGTACAGATTTTAATAATAAAACAGAAAAAGTATGCATAAAAACATGTTAAAACCAAATTCCTACATATTTACTTTATATTTATCCCTATATAAAAGCAGGATTCTTTTTCTTATCAATAGCAAGCTGTAATGTTCTAATAACCTTTTCGGGAAACCATAAATGTTCTGGTGCCAAAGCAAAACCCCTGCTGTTTCTAAAAGCCCAAACTAATGAAGACCACAAATCCAATTCAGTGTACACCAATAGGAAAACAACATTTTAATCAAATTATATGTAAAATGTATAGGAAATTTAATGCAAATTTGGAATAATATTTTTAATCAACACTTAACAATGTGGATTAAGCACCTGTAAAAATTAATTATAGAAAATTAAATCAGATTATTTTTTGTGGTACTTTCTCTGTTTCTACCAACATTTTTGCATTTAAGAAAACTAAAACATTTTAACCAAATAATTATTCATTATGAAGCAGCAGATTTTTCAAGGTACTTTTGTACAAAAATTGATTTTAGACAATACCCAGGTCTGAAAATGGTTGATCGTATTATTCTTTTTGTGTGGTTGTGTGTGTGTGTGTGTGTGTGTGTGTGTGTGTGTGTGTGTGTGTGTGTGTGTGTGTGTGTGTGTGTGTGTGTGTGTGTGTGTGTGCGTTACTTTTTTTCATGAACAACTAATAAGGATTGAAAAAAGTAATATTTTCTTAGGATTGTCCTTGTTTGTGTGTGATTGCACCCTCAGGCATTCCGTGTGTGCTCAAGCACATGCATGTGCATGCATGTGTTTAGAAACACTGTTTTGCAGTGAATGGTTGCATTTGCTATGGAGTTTCCATGTTTCTGAGATGTTTCTGGAGTTAAACATGTCTTTTCTTCTGTTTCCTACTTCTGTCTTGTCATGCAGCTATCTTTTTCTGAAGCCATGCGGAATAAGGCCCGTCTGTCCATCACAGGAAGTGTGGGGGAGAATGGCCGCGTCCTGACTCCAGACTGCCCCAAAGCTGTGCATGCTGGCCACGCCTCCCTCCGACACCCCGGCCTTGCAGTGGTCTCCTCCGGACTGGCCTGAAAAACCAAAAACACCTGCCGTGCCTTAAAGACTTCAACAAGAAACACAGACAGAAACTAAACAAAACCATATCCACACACATAGTTACAGAAAACCCTAATGAAACTACTCAGATACAGAGACATTTTATGATTACACACTTGAATTCATAAAAACAAAAACTCTTCATTCCACCTACCTGCTGATCCATTTTTCTGCTGTAGAGTGAACACTGGGAGAACGATGGACAACTAAACATCACACTGCAGCGTTAAAGTTTTTTTTTTATTAGTAGTTTTATTATTTTTGAAGAGAACACCATTGAGGCAACATAAAAGCCAGCACAGATCTTCAAAACATGAATAATTATTCCAGAAGACAACCAGAAAACGTATCATGGTGATGGTATCAGATGGTGAAAAAAGGGAGAAAAGTCAACCAAATGACTTGTTCTGTCTTCATGTGACAACAATGGCCTATAAGCCACGCCCACTCCCTTCTGACGAGGCCTTACGAAGACGGCGAACTTTGCTTTCCTCATCTTCAACATGGATCATCATCATCATCTCTACTTGCCTACAAAGACAACGTGCCAGATATTATAATCATTAGGAGACCAGAAAACTGTAACGCTTGAACGAAAAGACTGTGCAAACCTGCTACTTTCCCACAAACGGACTGAAATATCTACTTTCGTACTACACGTAGAGAAAGATTTCTTAGTCAGCAATGCAATCTAATCAGAGCAAAACAGAAATAACCTCAAAACACAGGAGTCCTTCATCAGCATCAAAACAGTAGAACTTAAAAAATAAATAAAAAAAAACTGGTCATGACATTTTTTTAAGCTTCTCATAAAGAAAAGACGTGGACAATTTTCTAATAATTCTCCACCAGACCACTGAGACCTCAGAGAAGTTTGTAGAATAACTAGAGGAGTTATCTTAGGTCCTGGGCACGCGTAGCTGGGTATCCCACAAAACGAAGATAAATGGCATCAAAAACTATTATTTTAAAAAGTCTGACTATATTTGCAAATTCTCCGTTGTCAGCCTTTGCTTGTGGATGTAAATAACTAGGTTTTAGGTTTCGCAACGTCACTTCCCGTGACAACATTTTCTGACATGACATGTGCAACCTATGTTTGCACTCATGTGTAATGCTCTATGTAGAAGAGCATAGGAGAAGAATGGCATTAATGACCGTTATTTTCACCACGTAGTTATTCCACATCCAAGGGATGTTTTACAGCAAAGTCACAGAAGATTCGGGGAACTACTGCCTCCTCCAGACTTGGCATGCATATAGTCCTTTTTGGAAGACACACCGTGCCGGAAAATAAGCGTAAAGCCTGGGGCACGCTGGAAGCATTTTAAATAGAAGCCATTATAGTTAATGGGAGTGGGCACACATGGCGGTTTACAACATTGTGGAGTACTTTACAACAGACATTATGACGAGGAATGGCTTTACGGCACAAACCCAGCCGCCGGCACAAACCCAGCCGCAGTTTTGATAACTTAAGTACAATTCATCTTAAAATATCCTATTAAATAGCGTACTTACCCATTCTTAATTAATTAGAGTCTCACAAAACACGACGGCAAGTCTGATCACGTATAAACAATAGAGTCACTTCCCGGTTTCTGTTCTCAAGTCCAGCATGATGTGGTGACTTTTGCACGACTTTCCAAGAAGCGCTCAGCGGCACAGTGCGTTCTGTGTGACCACTTGACTATTCAAGATAGGGTCGGGTTTTATTTTTCCTCAAGCCACTTTTGGGATGCATCAATTACCGCAGTTAACATAGGTCTAGACAGGAAATCAGTGTAAAATCCCTGGTAATTTTCAAGATGAAAGTATGGCAGAGATGCAGTTTCGTATATTGCAAATGAAAGTAAACACCGGCAATAAATTTTGTTTTTGTAAACGGAACCAGCTGAGATGATGAACTGGAGCGATGCAGAGCTCCAGGAGCTTCTAGTTAGAGCTGGAGATCAGATCGCCAGAGGCTGAACAGGGACTGTGGCGGACAGACACTTTAAGGAGTGGCATGTAAAAAGACTTAAGCGTAGCTTCAATCGCAATAAAAGCAAGTGATTGAAATAAAAAGCAAGTAATGTCAAAGATAAACAGAAGGCCGCTGCAGTGCAGAGATCGCCTCCATACCACCTTTATACCACCACTGCATAATTTTTGTACTGCCACGGTCTGACCATATATAAACAACCTATGTTTCCCTGATGACTGCTCAGGGTTGAGGCAAACTGGCGGCATTGTTTTCTAAGAGGCTTTTGAATGTGCTTCACAATGCACTCAATTTTTTGCTCAAAACGACCTGTTTTTTTTCCCCCCTAGAGAAGCAGGAGACGATATTTGGTCTGACCAAAGCCCGGCTACGTGTGTACATGACCTTAGTGTCCAGGTCCTTATGAATTAAAAACCTAGACATTCTAGCAGCTGAAATATGACACATTTAAATATTTATTTGCAGGTTTGCCTTTAATAGAGTAAAAAGTGGTGGTTTTTTTTTGCTGGCTCTCATTAGGTTGAGATGCTGTGTGCTCTTGACTTCACCTTAACTCTGAAGCTTTTCTGCTACATTTCTCAGTTATCCTAAAACCTGATGTTTCCGGTGGCTGCAGAGGAGAGGTGTGACATCAGAAAGCTTGCTTTGTAGAACAGTTGTAAATAACTGTAGCAAAACAGAGCTCACTAGCCTTTTTCTAAAAAATAAAAATCCTCTTAGATAACAATTCATTGCAATAATGAATATAAAAAGAAAATGCCACAACTTGTAATTAAATGAAAACTTTTTTATATAAATCTACATACTATATATAATGCAAATGAATCTATATATATATATATATATAAATATATATCTATACGTCTATAGAGAGCTATAGAAAACATTGATCACTAATTGTCAGAGGCCATGGCATACCTTCTGTTATATGGCTGTTGTTTCTTTTTTTAAATACTTGAGAATATTAGTATGCCACAGTTGTTGTGTGTCCAGCTCCACACTGAATGTCCATCTGGCACTCACACGGACACACAATCAAGCTTACACACACATTGTTGCATACACAGGGTCAGCTCAGAGGCATCACTCAAGCATCATTCACTGTTTTTCTTTCTATTTTTACCCGAGTCTCTCTGTGTGTGTGTGTGTGTGTGTGTGTGTGTGTGTGTGTGTGTGTGTGTGTGTGTGTGTGCGCGCGCATGCGTGCGTGCGTGCGTACGTGTGTGTGTGTGTGTGTTAAAGCGGTCTGAAACAACACGCCGAGGTGCCAGTGTTTGTGACAAAACAAGTGTAACAAGTTGGTCTCTTGTGAGGATGAGTTGTGCCGTCTGGGAAACAATGATCTGACATTTCAGGAGTGTAACACTTGTTGCAGCATTTCAAAGTGAATTGTTCATTCTTTTGTGTGTTTTTGTCAGGTGTGTGTCAGCTGCAGATTGAAATCATGGTTGTGTTCAGATTAAACAAGCTTTGTCTTCATAATAATACTAGTGATTAAACTTTTTTGGCCCAATTACTTACAGAAACTACAAAACAAAATTATTTTTGTTGCTCTTAATTGTTTCAGATCAGCAAATACATTTTAATATCAGACACGATAACCTAAGTGAAAACAAAATGCTGATTTTACAAAACGATTAACTTCAGGAGCAAAGCTAAACCAAATGCACCTGAGATGGAAAAATTCATTTGGAAGGGAAGATGCAGTAAGATCTCAAAAACAGCACAGCATTCCTATTCTAATGAAATTCAAGAATAAAACAAACAAGAACCCACTTGGTTCATGTTAAGGTCAGAGTTCAACAAGAAAGGCACAGCAACATTGTCCTTACAAAGCCTGAACCTCTTCTGACCAAAAGAAACCTTCAACGTTTTTCAAAAAATGCATTTTGTGGCCTGATGAGACTAAAAGGTGAACTTTGAACAGCGTGTGTGTTCCATTACATCAGGTGTAAAAGTAACACTTCATTTCAGATAAAGAACATCATAACAGTCAAACAAGGTGGTGGTAGTGTGATGATTTAGGGTTGCTTCAGGCTCTTTACCACTTGCAGCAGATGGAATTATGAATTCTGCTCTCCATTAAAAAATCCTATCAGCATTCCCTGTGTGACATTTGACCTTAAACAGACCATACACCCTAGAAAACTCACCAGTATGACTGAATTATGAAAATTTTGTCAAGGAAAGTGAGATCAAATTCTTCTACAACGCTGTGGGATATCGGTCACCGGTTTTCATAAAATCTTGATTTACTGTCAAGCGTGTTCCAACCACTTAGGTTTTTAGGTCAAATTTCTCATCTGATCTGAAATATATGAAGGTGGCATGAAACCCAACCCAACACTTTTTTCCCAGTACTGTGTGTATGAATGGATTTGTCTTACTGCGGTAGTACCGCATGGTAGTGGATACCTGCATCAGGATTGTGTTGTTTTACACTCTGATACTGTAAGTGAGTGAGATGTTTGCTTTTCGGACCTCTCCATTCATATCTTTGTTGTCCTTTTCCTTTTGACTCATTTACAACAGAAATATCCATGCATACACCCTAACAAATGACAAGTGACTTTATTATTTGATTCAGTTCTCTGGAAAACATAGATGAATGGACAACGTGAGACCTTAAAGGTGCAATAAGGAAGAGTTTTATAGTAAATCAGAATCCAATGTCTCAACCATGTTGCAATTTGCATTAAAGCAGATTTCCTACTCAACCTTCTGAGTGGTTTCCAGGTATTAGTCATTGTTTATAATCTGTCCCACCTCCATACTTCCTGGTTCCAGAGCCAGTCATACGTGAGCCCTCAAAGTTACCAGTTCTGTAAACATTGCTGTACCGTTATATGTAGTTACACACCGGCTGGCATCTTTGTGGACAGATTTAAGCCACTAAAAGAAGAAAAGCAGCAGCAAGAAAGTAAAACGATTTTTGTTTTACTTTAATATCGAGTAAGGAAGGCTTGAGGCTAACGTTGAGCTAACAATGCTAATTGTGAATTAGAAAAAAGTAGTCAGCTCAAAAAAATATCTCCAGCTACTCATTTCAGGTGTAAACAACTTGATATTAGGGAAGTGTATTTTATCTACTTATCGATTTACGGAGCATGACTTGTCTTTGCTTATCATCTAGAAGATTTTTTGTGGGGATCCGTAAACGACAACAGCTGCTCAGATCGAACTCATTGGTTTTGATGCATGGACTGCAGTACCCAAATTTGACCACCTGATGTAATTCTTACTTCATGCACCTTTAAAGGCCATCTTTCATTTTAAACACATGTTGAAGTGCTTATATAGTAATATGCCTAAACTTAATATTTTCATTGAATAAAAGGAAGATATATGAAAATAAAACGAGTTATTAATGATGCAACTCTGCTTACCTAGCTAATCCGGTTTAAAACGGTACCTCTAGCTGGAAACCGGAAGTGATGCACACGGAGGAAAACATTTCCGACTCTACTAAGCAATGGATTCACAGCAGCAGGACGAGGTGTCAGAATTTGAAATCGAATTTACTGTTATTTATAATATTGAAGGTGCACAGCCATGCAGTTTTGAGCCAGCAGCAAGAGGGAGTTTAAATGGTGAAAGAAGAGCTGTAGAAACGTGGGAACTTCAAAATGCACACAGACTTGGAAATGCTAACTGTAAGAGCATGTTTTATTTTTAAAGATATTTCGACAGAAAATGTCCTCTGACAGATTACATCAAATACCTAGCCACATAACTTAAAGACATACTAAACTCAAATTAAAAATGGTTAATTTATACCAAGTTTGGGTCCAAGTTCTTCATAGCTCTAGCACCCCTTTGTTAAATTAGCTTTGTTTCATTAGCTGTTATTACATTAGCCTGGTAAGCCATCCATGTGAAAATATCCTTGTAATTCAGCAAAAAAAGATTCTAGGCTGATGACATTATTCATCTCACAATCTGAGGTCATTGAAGCAGTTTATTATTAATCTAACTTGGCATACCTCCTTAACACATTCACCAATCAACTTTAACAACAAAACGTCTTCAGTGATAGGTCTTCTCACTCCTAACCACTCATAAAGGTGTTGCCCAGCTTGGAAGGCTGCAGCCATCAGGAAGTTTTGTTACCGTGGAAGGGTTGGTTGAGACTGCTGCGATGTTTAGGTGGGTGGCACAAGACAATGGTATGTGAATGCCAGGAGGCAGATTGTCAACTTTCTACAAAATCAGCTGGTTTTCTTCTGACTTGTGATTTAATGCTGTAGCTGACTGGTTTCACCTCATCCTGCTTTAATTCTGCATTAAATCTTTTTCAGTCAGTTTCAAATGTGCAGAAGTCTGAATGAATTGAACAAATGCTCCTCTTAGCCCAGGGGATTATCATTAGTACAGCAGCACTGTGGACATTTAAGAGGAAAAACTGGAAATACTGCATTTCTACAGGATTTTCATTTCTTCCTTTCATCTCCACCACACACATTTTGAGTTGTAGACAGCAGTAAGTTGACAGCCACGCTGTCAAACCACTGGCTTTAACATTGTTTCTTTCTTTCTTAATGTCTTTTCTCCCATTTTGTTTTTTCTAGTAAAACATCGATGCTGAATTTTACCGACTCTGTGTTTTTTTTCTTACTGAACTCAAATGTGGTTTAATTGGTCTAGAAATGCTGTATAATTACACAAAGAAGAAACAGGCATGTTTGGTGCTGCTCAAAGAAGTAAAAATCATACCAGTATGGGTAACAAGGCAGGCCGTCGTTGAATAATTAAAAAAAAGAGTTCTATTTGTTTGTTTTTTCCACATAAAAATAATTTTATGGATTAAAAGTACCTAAAAAGAGGATTTAGTTTATCAACAACTCATAATGCAGGATTAAGGAGATAATTATCTTCCGAAAAACATGCAAACAATAAAGCAATTTCTCTAAATATTGAAAATCAAAGACATTTTTGTCATTTAAGCCACAATTAATGCTAAATAAGCTTAAATTTGGTGAGCCATTTGGTATTTAGGAATGTGGAACATAGCTAAGTAAAAGGAAAATAAACAAAATCTCAAAAATATGGAACATTTTGAATAAAAGCTAAATTTACTGTTTTACTTGTTTGCAAGCAAGCCCCATCTAACATTCTAAACAAATTTGAAGAAATCTTACCCAGCCTGGATTCCAACCCGGGTACTCTGCTTGTAAGTACCAGAAAACTGCACAAGTCCTGTTATTTTGGCTAAAAACAGCAATCATAGTTTAAAAGCCACTGAGAACAATTTAAAACAGCTAAAAACGATGATTAAAATGGGACTTTAATGAAGGTTTTCATTGTATTATGAAAATTTTGTCATTAATTGTTTAGAAATAAATGAAGGTGGATTTACGGAAGTGTTTTGTATGAACACAAACAGCTGATGCACTTGGAGAACAAAACAGAGCTGGGCCGGGGGCCCGCTGCAACCCCCCCCCCCCCCCCCCCCCCCCCCAAACAAACAACTGAAGCGCCGCCCCTGAGCTAATGATCTCTGCAGGATGTTATCAGGCTGAAAATCCCCTGCTGTGACTTTGTCATTTGGGCTCAGTTTCCAATTCTTTGGGGACCCAACACTCCTAATGCAGAGCCATCAGTGACAAGTATTTCCCATCTACCACACACACACACACACACACACACACACACACACACACACTACATGCACTCACTTCATGCATGGCTAGTATTGACAAATGTTTCCCATTCACCCAAGGAGGAAGCAAAGTAACCAATTTGGGGACATCCTGCCACCCATTTAACCTCACACCTTACACGCAAATGCATGTGCACACGCGCATGCATGCACACACACACACACGCGCGCACACACACGTACGCACGCACACACACACACACACACACACACACACACACACACACACAAACCTTCGGTCAAGTCTTTTATTACATCTCCAAAGTGAAAACAACTTTTCACCTTTTAAGTTTTATTGTCCTGGTTGATCTCATCCATCTGTCTTTTCTCACCAGACCTCCCTTATTTCTCGGGCCAGGCCCTCTATCCTTCCTGTTCAGTTACCAGAGGCCTCCCACTTATCAGTTCCAGATCTCACAAGAATAGAGAGAAAAAGAGACCACTGGCACCAACACGTTTTTCTCTCTGCCCATTTTCTTTATTCTCCCTTCTCCTGCCATATTTAATTTTGGCATCTCTGCATCTCTCGCTCTCTGGAGAGCAGATCTCAAACCCTGATTTCTCATGCACAGATCCCAATCCTATCATAAGCCCTCACTCTTTTCTGTTTTCAGTCTCATGACAGAAAATGAAATCCCACCTCCCAGCACCTGACAACAGCTGCTTGTGCTGCAGCAGCAGACTGCTTTGATGTTTCAGAACCAGTGAGGAGATCTGCACTTCCACGCCTTCAGTAAATTAGATACAACATTAGATGACAACAGATAAAACTGGGTTTCAGCAGGAACTAATTAACTTCACTTTATTTTCCAACTGAATGGAAATTTAATTAAACAAGCTAATTGTTTTGTTTGCTTTTCTTTCCATTTATTAATATCTGCAAAGTGTGAAATATTTTAGATGCATAGATTCAAGATTAATTCAAGTAAATCTGATGGAAAGATAATTAAAACACAAAGATCTAGTTTCTAAGTAATTATTCAGACTCGTCTCACAGACAGCTAAAGTAAACATTTGTTGCTTTGCTGCTGAATGTTCCCTTCAAGCTTCAAGAGTCAGAATCATCAATTAAAGACTAATTACAGAAGCTAATAAAAGGTCTGTTTGTTCAAGTTTCCAAGTCTTTCTGCAAATAACAGATTAAAATGCCAATTTTGTGATCTAAGTAGATATTCATGACTAAAAACAACATGTGACTCTTGTAGGAGATCCAGCATGTTAAACGACTGAATAGTAAATCAACAATTGGAGAAGAAACATTGAAGAAATGGTTTGCACATTCAGATGACTGATAGCAAGTACACAATGCATTCATGATGGAAACTTTTCTTTATTCTGTGTTGACCTGTTTGCTTTACACATAATTCACCCTGTCGAGCCAGAAATTGTAAATTAATCATAATAAAAATGTCTAGTTTATAAAACTGAACTAATGATTGATTAGTGTTCTTTCAACAATTATACAACAATCTTCTTTTTATATTACTATGTAAAAATATAATAATAAATCAGCAATTAAGAAACAAAAAAATTAAACTGCATCCTGTAGATCATGCAGGGCAGAAGACGGATGTATCAGACTGAATGTGGCAGGTTTTTGATAAAAGTACCGGTACTAATCCTAATACTGCATCTGGATGATTTAAAGAGCAAGTCACCCTCAAATAAACTTTTTCTTCCTGAAAGATTATATAAACGAATGTCTAATCATGCTACATGTGTAGTCAACAATTTGGCACTTGAGTGCTTCTTCATTAAAATTTCAATATTCTGCTTAAAATGGTCAGTGTTGTGCCCTCTTCAGGTAAAAACTCTGCACTGCATTTCAATTTAAATCTGCCATCGCTATTGGCTAAGACCGGGGTCGGCAACCCGCGACTCTAGAGCCGTATGCGGCTCTTTCATCCAGCTGACGCAGCTGTCTGCGCTTGTAAAATAATGAATGAATATTTAATTAATAAATAAAAATACTTTTTCTGCATCAATTTTTTTCTGTATGCTAATTCTAAATGTAAAGATTGTCATCTTTTAAAATCTAAACAAAAATGATAAAGACCTGAAATGACAGGTCACCTGCTTGTGCGTTAGCAAATGTCTCTAAAGGCGCTTTCAGAGCTGAAGAGGATATGAGATTCTGGACTTTTGCCTCAGACAGGCTCCTGGATGCATCGCAGCATCGCCACATTGGAGACAGGAACAAGCGCTATTCAGCCAAAGTTTCATAATCCGGGAACCTTTTCCAAGTGACATGTCTCTCTGAGAGACATGGTTTGGAAAACACTGCTTCAGTGAGAGGAATCTTCCCACATGCGCTCTGGTTCTGTTGCTGTCGGTGACCGACGTGCTCCAAACTGCCTCTTCAGCTCATCCACGTTACGCATGTGCTGACAGTGAGCTGCGCTGGGAGGTGTCCAATAATGCTCAGATGTTCTGATGGCAATCATTTCTTGATTGATGTAGCTACCCCATCGACATTAATATATGGACAATGGGTTTCTATAGGCTCCAATAACAAGTTTTTGTGCTAAAATGGGAGGTGGCCACCACCGTCATTTTGACCGTGTCACAGGTTCCGTCAAGCCCAGACAATTCCATAAAAGGGAAAAGAGGAGGAGCTGAGGGTGGGGCTGTAAGGCTGGGATCAACTGATGACACCCGGTCAAACTAGCTACAAGCTAACCCAAAGCTAACGCGGAGGTGGGAGCCGAGCTGACGGATGTAGCTGTCACACCCTGTCCTGTCTTCCCATTTGGTTCAGCCTGTGTCTCTGTTGATTGCTCCCACCTGCCTCTCGTTTCCCAATCACCCAAGCTCCCAGCCCTCCTGTACTTAATCCCCTCCAGTTCTGTGTCTCTTGTTGCCTCATTATTTCCATGTCCTGTGTCTTGTGATCATTAAAAACCTTTTAAGTTTTCCAGTTTGTCTGCCTGCCTGATCCCTCCACAGCGTTTGGATCCTCACCTCTGCTATACTCACCAGCGCGTCGTGACAGAATGAGGCAACCAGTAAAGGATCCAGTGGGGAGGTTCTCCCTCGGGAGTGCTTGTCCCAGTTTTTAACTGCGGACCACCGGCAAGCTCCTCTTCCTCCGGTATCGCCTCGCCGCAGATGCCGCCGACGAGCCCGGGCTTCGGCGATCCTCTCCACCCTCCCGGAGCTGGAAGGAGAGTTGGACGGCGAGGCGCAGACGGACCGCTCCTGCTATGTGGGCACCAGACTGGCTGTGTGCTCCCCCGGAGTTGGCCCATGGCGTTTGGAAGGATGCTGGGCTCCACGGTCACCCCTTGTCCCCGGACGGAGCCACTAGCTCGCAGCTGCCCCGGCTCGGCGCACTGGCTTGGACCCGCCCCCAGTTGGATCAGCTGTCCCGTCTCCGGTCCAATCAGCGCCTCTGTCGTCTGCAGGCGGAGGAACCACACCTACAGCCCAGCTGACAGATCGCACCTGTCTCCGGGCGGAGCTTGGCCGGATCCGTCAGCTCGTCAGCCTCCGGGAGTTCCAGCTGGACACCCTGTCCTCCCCGTATCTACAGGGGAGGGTTTCTGTCCAGCCAGCGGCCCCACCTCTGGTCCAGTCGGCAGCTCTCTCGTCTCCAGGCCAAAGGACTGAGCTTGCAGTCCATCCAACAGAGCTCGCCGGTCTCCAAGCTGAGCTGGACCGACTCCATAAGATCCCCAGTCTCCAGGAGTTCCAGTTGGACAATCTATCCTCCCTGCTTTTCCAGTTACTGGCTCCACCAGGTCCCGCGCCACCAGTCCAGTCAGCGCCAGTTCCAGCGGTGGTCCCGGAGGTCGCACTGCGTCCAGTTCCGACGGTGGTCCCGGAGGTCGCACCGCGTCCGGTCCAGCCTGTTCAAGCGGTCTCGTCTAAAGCAACTCCTCCTCCACTCCAGAAACCGATGGTCCAGAAGCCGGCGCTCTAGAAGCC